CTTGTCGCTGTCTTTATTGCCGCCTAATCGCAATGGACCGCGTCGAAGTTGTTCTTTTTCCAGGCTGCACTAAGGCGGCATCATCAGTCATGCTACTTCATTATTATCGCTGACACTGCCACCCCAAGAACAGCCACTACCCACCCACTACCCACCTACTACACACCCTAAATACCCACTTCCTCGCCCGCTTGTCGCTTATAATTCATTTCTATTGTGCCCCGTCTGAAAGTCCTTTTTGATCCAGCGGACTTATTTGTCTTGAGGAAACTCGCAGTAAAATTGCTTTTCCTACTACGCGCTCACTTCCTGTTGCCGCTTGTTGCGCTCCGCTCTCGAAAGTCTGGGGCTGACGCAACTTTCCCATTGTCTGGCCGGCTTTGTGAGTGCCGGCCAAGTCCCAGGGATCGGTGTTAATAGACGCCTGGCTGCCGGACTCGCCTGCAACAAGCAACAAAACACAGAAGACACTGCCAAAAATAAATATATTTTAAACAAATATTAGCTTTATTTCGTTTATTTTTTATATTCAAAAGCAAAAATTAGAATTTTGACAGCCAAAATCCATAATTGTTATCTGGTTTGAAACAACTTTCCGCTTACCAGGAGGACATAGAGTCCATCCTAAAATATTTACCTAATTTATAAAAGTTCTAAATTATCAAACCTTGAATTTGCAGTTGCCTCACATATGTAATTTTTGGTAAAAATTATGTCATTAGTTTACCACATTTACCACTTTAGCTTCTAAAATTCATACATCATAAATCAAGGCATCCTAAACTTAGAGTTAAAAACCTAATAATTTAATATGAAAAGGTTTTCCGTTTTAGAAGTGACAATAGGCTTAAGGAAATTAAATACAAGCTTTTTTCTAGGAAAATTCTTTTCGAAATTTTTGTCAAAAATCCCCAGTTATTGCTTCCGCAAGATGAATTTTTTTTCTCAGTGCAACAGCCTTAGAAGCGGACGCTTCAAGTTGGCTCTTCATTTGTCGCTTTGTGCTTATTGTCATTGCGCCCGGCTTCATTTTCTTGTGATTAATGTCGTCATTAACTGCAATTAACTTTTTTAGTTGCCAGCCGCGGCAAATCTTGGCCGTTTTTGCCTGAACTTTGGTCGCCAACTTGACTGGCATGTTGAGCAATGTCAATTCGAGTCCTGCGTGCCATCCTTCACTGGACGTCATCAGTCATGTATGTGAGTGTGGCGAGTGTACGGGCGACAACTTAATAGTTTTTGCCCTTATTATTTGTCAAGCATTCTGCTAATGGCCTGGGTCGCCCTTCCAACTTCCACCCACGCTTTTCAAAGTTCGCAAAAAAAAACAAAGAGGGGACCGATGACAATTTTCGCCTAACGAATCTCACATGCACTCGACAACTCATTGGGGAAATTGCTTCTGAATGGCGGCTTGAATGGGAATCCACACATGAACCAAGTTTGCTTCGTTTCAAAAAGAATTAAAGTTCTGATAATTTAAGCTCATGGCTGCACAGGAAATTAGGTGGCCAACCCACTGTTTTATTATTTTCTTATATGTTCACGTTCTAGTCATGTTCAAGAAAATGTTTCTTGGCTTGTTTATTGTTTAAATAATTAAAAAGCATACGGTTCACTGTATAAAATAATGCAAAAACTTAACCTCAGATGTGGAACTCCTGTGAAACACTTAATAAAATTATCTTACAGGCATACTTTACAGAAATATTTTCTTAAAGACAAAAATGGCTAAAAAGACATTATTTATAATTGCCTATTTTAAGGTAAAGAAGTTAACAAGATATTAAATTAAGAAATAGGTTAACATCAAAAATTTATTTATTCTTTTTTTTAAAGTCAAAAAAGAACTGAATAGACATTGTAATTGGCTATTGTTAGGTAACGAAATGGTTGTTTAAAATTTTTAATTTAAGAAAAAAATAAGAAGCAAAAAATCTTTCTGTGTGACTGAGCCGAGTCAAGTTTCGACCCGATTCTTCAGTCCCGGGCGAGAGTAATTCCACTCCGGGCAAGTGCACAAAAATGTCCTGCTAAGTACGAAATAAAAGCGTTACGTGTGTGTCCTGACGTGCACTTGCCAGGGCCATAAACTGGCCGACTTCCCCGGAGTCGCGGGACATTCCGTGCATATACCGTAACTACAAATGCGACCCGGATCCGCTGAACTTATGTATTTACAACGTGGACGCACGCGTGCTCCACTTGCTTGCCGGCGGCGCAGCCTAGAATTATGCTACAAATTTTATAATTTCACACCTAAAGGAAACGGAAGAGCAACATCAGCCTCATCCTCATTCTCACACTCAGCCTCCCAAAAACGGAAATGGCTCGTAAAACAGCGGCAAACGGCATTGAGAAGTTTTACGCCATGGCTTTGTTGTTTCCCAGCCCAGCCTAGCCCAGCCTAGCCCAGCCCACAAATTTGGCACATACAAAGGTACTTTTTGGATATTTTTTTAGTGCTCCATGGCATACACACACTCACTGCCAGCTGGGACTGGCTTGCATTTTTGTGTTTTAACTTTCTTACAATAAAGTGATGTTATCTTGTGCTTCCTGCTACTTTGCGGCTTAGGCAACAGGCGTGTAGGCGTGTGGGCGTGTGGGCGTGTGGGCTTGTGGGCGTGGCTGGGTTGGTGGGATACTACCCAGTGGTGGTTGACAGGATCTAGGGGAAATTACTTCGTGCTTTATCGTGCATATAAATCTATTTGCTCAGGTGTTTTTAGCTGCTAATATGTTTGTGATGACTTTATTTTGCGTTTACCGCCAGCTTTGCCTTCATCTGGCTCTTGGCCCCCGGCATTGCTTTGCCAGGTTTCTTTATTTTCCCTTCGGTCCGCCCACGGTCGCAATTTTTTCCTTTGCCACCGCCGCCTTTAGCCTCTACCTTATTTAGATTGGGCATAGCGGCAGCTTATCAGTTTTTTTTTTGGTTGCTTGCGCTACGGAAAAGTTCTAAAAAGGTTTCTTGGCCCAGGCCAGATGCGCTGCAGGCTTAGACCCGCACTCGAAAGGAGAAGAGCACTTTAATATTTCTGCAGTCGAACGATGCGGCGTATGCGCAATTTGGTTAAATAAGTGACGAATCCAGAGCAAATTAAAAGGGGGCGGCGCATTAGGCTAAATGTTTAAAGCACTTAGTCGGCATGCATGTTGTCATAAGGCGGAATGAAATATTCATAGGCAGTCGGGGCCCGGCCAATATACTTACCTATGCGGGCTTTGGGGCTCGAAAAGGCTCGGCAAGCCTTTAAGCCTTTTTTAATGCCTTAACTACAACTAAAACTAGACGAGGTTGTACAACCCATCCTTACACACACGCACCGCACCATACCGCAGCACAACACGGTGTTGTCGTCGCGACCACACAGCATTTGCTCAAGGGATTAACTGTAAAGATCTTAATGCCTCTATTTCGACGGTCTTAAGTAAACTTCCGACCAGGCTGGGGCCCAACAACAATGTGTGACAAGTCAAGCAGCACCGACCCAGAGCCAACTCCCAAGCCCAACCGCCGACTACCCCTTGGTTTTTGGCTTTTTATTTGTGTTTGTATTTGGCCCAGTGTTTGTTTTGCCCACTGGCTCCACTCAAGCCGCCTTGTTCTAATGCACAGAGAAAAAAATTACAAAATTATGGCAATTCGACTTCTAAAACTCATTACTCAGAAAAGATTTAAAAAAAGTAAAACAAAAAAATGGTACAGTGATTTTAAATACAACCTAAAGCAAGCTAGTCAAGTCTAGATTTTGAAAATGTAAGTCCTGGTATTTCTGTAAGGGGATTTTATAATAACTGCAATTGGTAGCGATATTTAGTGAATTAGAATCGAACTTATATTAAATTATAAAGGCATGCATTTTATGTGTGAATTTTTTAATCACAAAAGTGTGAAATAAGTTTTATTGAAATATTTACTTTCTGTGTAACTGCGTTTCTAGCGATGCTGCTCTTGTTGCTAAGCCTCAAGCAGCACTTCCGCATCCTGGTTTGTGTGCTTGATGTGGCCTTTGGGCCTCCTCCTCGTACTGGGTCACATATGCACATTGTCACTGCCAAGTACCACTAATATTATTTACTTTTCGTTAGGTTGTGTTGTGCCAGCTCAATAGATAAACACGTGTCGCCATCACCCATTTCTCGAATAAAGGGGGTTTTGGGGAATGGGAACCCCACCTTGTGCTTATGACATGCCCTGTCATTCGATGGAACATTGCCGGCGGCAACAATTATGCCAAATTAAGTGCTGGAACTTTGCCTGCATACCATGGGCCCCGTTCAATAAGTTAAACTTTCCGCGAATCGGGAAACAGAAAATTATAAAACGTTAAAATTGAAAAATCATGCGGCAACGCGGAGGACATGAAGCGAACATCCAGATGGTGCCCACGGCCAGCAGACGAAGCCGGGTGTAATTGAAAAATATAAAATATCGCCGCAATCTGATTAAAATTACATTTAAATAAAAGCAACAAAAACATGGCAGGATACTGGAGGCGGGAAAGAACAGCAGCGAGCCACAAGCGAACATTCTGTGATGTGCGTCAGGCACGAAACTTGCAATTACAGTTTGTAACGCTGTGCCAGGTAAAAAACTTTACAAAACTTTCCAATTGCTTTTCATTGAATTGTTATCGATAGTAAAGAGAACCAAAAAAGTAAGGAAAAATGACCAGGGCTAAATTAAATAGAGAAAAATAAAAGAATGCCTGGGATTGAAAGTGGAAAAACGAAATTGTCAAAAGGACTCAATAAATTCGTTTAGAGTTAACGTAATAAATAGTTAAAAATAAAAAGGTTTCCTCATATATTTTTAAGTTTTTTGTTTATTTCGGTATTTAGGGAGAATATAAATAAAATACTCGAATACTCAAATTAAAATGTATCAAACTTAAATCACTAAAATCTCATGTTATGTATGAAAGGTATATTTATATAATTCATGCCTTGGAAACCGGATTACACTTATATGGCCAAAAAAAAAGGACCAGTACTTTTCCGCTGTGAAAGCTTAATGGTTTATTTATAAATACAGATTGAGCTTACAAAATATGGGTCAGTTAGGGGCTAAGGCTTTGATTTCTTAATGGGCATGATATACAAATTAACAGATGTATGTAATGCTTTTGAACTGATTGCTGATGGTGGTACATTAAGGCAGCTTAACTGATTTTGTTGCGCAGATAGTATTTGATGAGCTGAATGCACACCTCCGCATCTTCGGCACTGTCGTGGCCGGCCTCTGTGGAGGAAAAACGTATTGAACAAAACACTCTTCGCCGCACAAAGATACTTATTTTTAAAATAAAGGCATATTTAAAAATGGTTGGTAGACCATAGAAACCAAATGTTTACTAATAAACCATGCCTAGCTATATTTATTTTTCCTGTGACAAACTCACCGTTCTCTTGTATTATACGCTTTAGGTTTTCGATGCAGAGTGTCTTTAAGGCGCGCTTCTTTGGCGGACCCATCTTGTGGGGAAATAGCACCGAGGTGTCCACCACCACGTCATGTATGAGTTTGAGTGCCTTGAGGTCGCTCTCCAAACTGTGGCCAACGAGCACGGTTTTGGCATGGAACATGGACATCAGCACGGCCTGAACATCGCGTATATTGCGCGTCTCCTTTGAGAGCATGGCCTCTGTGATGCCCGAGTAGCTAGAACCGAAATATGTTTGATCAGTAAAGATATTCGTCTAAACCATCTACACCTACGTGGTATTGTAGTCCACAATCTGATTATCCGGCTTGACCAGAGCGTCGTACACGCTGCGTCCGTTAATGTCCACCACAGTGACGCGCGTCAGCTCTATTCCATGAGTCGTGTAACACATCTCGCAATCCAATGCGAAGATATCCTTTTTGGTGGGCACCAACTCCTCACCCCGCTCGATCGTCTTCACGAAACAGGTTAGCTTGTCCGGATCGTAGTAGTCGCTTACGTGGTAATTGGCATAGGTGCAGCCCGGAGTGCCAGCCGGCTGCTGACAGCAGCGGTGCTGGTTGTCCGTGAATCCTCGCCGGTAGCCCGTGCTTTTCGGATGATAGTTGCACATATCGAAGCCCTTGTGCTCGTATATATCCAAGCTGAACACCTTGCCGCAGCGGGAACAGTAACGTTCGCTCTGATTGGGCCGGCGGTTGGGTCGGCAGGCGCGTATTATTGCTGATCCCCGCTTCTCGCCCGGTCGCGGATAGCCGTTCTCCACCAACTGCTCCTCCGTTAGGCGCAGATCGAAGACCATTTCGTACGCTTTCTCTGCGTCCAAAGCGTCGAAAGGTTCGCCATTGCCCAAGGAGCCCAGTTTGCTGGAAAAGGAAGGGATTCCTAATTAATGTTTGTTAATGTAATAAATAAATAAATAAAAATTTATATTGTATTTATGAAACGGAGCTGTTAGTAAGAGCCGTGGTTCATTAAAACAATATCCACTATGTAAATCACTAACGTACTCCTTTTTCTCTACGCTCCAGGAGGTGGTGAGCGCCCGCTTGCCGCCCAGCATCATCTCATGGGAGACCGTCTTGCTGGCCACACTTGGTCTGTTTCCCGCCTCGATAGCTTCCTTGCGAAGCTTGTTAATCGCCAGCATGCAGCTGTTCTTGTAGATGGCAGGCGTGTTGCACTTCTTGAAGACGGCCAACTCCTCCACCTGGGCCCGCTCCCATGCGTCTGCTAGCTGCGGATAGATGATGGTGCAGTGCTTCACCATCATCTCGTAATACTGTATGCGCACGTTGTAGGAAATTTTGGAGCTGCTTGGATCCAGAACGGTGGGCTTTTCTGGATTGGCCTCGCTGGCCATCGGCGCAGCTTTGTCCAGCGCAGCCGTCGGCTTGTGGGCCACCCGACCGGCGCTCTTAAAGGATTGGGCAGGCGTGAAGGCTGGCTTCTTCTCGGCCTGCAGCTCCTCAATCTTCTTCTTGGCCCGAGCTATGGCTACTATGTTGGCCACTGGCGCAATGCTGCGAGCTACAAAATAGTTAATGATAGCAACATTATATACATTTCATAATTTCTAGGTGTATCTAAATTATTCATTAATGATAATTCGTTACTTTTTAGAATTATCTCATCAGTAGTTACTTATCACTTAAATATTACATTTTCATGTGAAATTAAGATAATCTTCAAAATGAACTCATTATTTTACCTGTGTGAAGGTACGTACAACGAAAAAGGAAATAGCGACCAAAACAATAACCATAATTTCATCGAAATAATAATGACATCAGTTTCTTGTTAACTTGGTTACAACAGTGCTTACCTGAACGCACTGGGGGAGTCAAAGCGCTTCGCGGGATGAGGGGCGTAAGGTTGGAGTTGACCTTGGCCAGACGGAGCTCCTCCTGCGCTTGGCGCACTCGCTCCTGGGCCAGTCGTAGCTGCTCGGCAGCGGCCTCGGCTTGCAACTTCTCCTGGCGCCTCAGTTCCGCCCGCCGGTCGAAGATTGCCTGCATTGCATTCCGGATGTGATTGGGCTTGCGCACCGCCACCGAGGCAGCCGCGTGTGGCTTGATCCTGTCCGCCTTCTCGTGGGCCACCCGCCGCTTCTGCAAAGCCGCTGTCGCCGCCTCTGTGAAGGTGTCGATGTCCGGCGAAGGAGCCTTTCGCTTGCGAGAGCTTTCTGGATTGGCTTCGCCGCATTCGTCCTTGTGCATCTGGGCGAACTTCTTCTCCATCTCGTCGAATATCATCTCGCATTGGCGCACTATCTCCCCCTCAGAGGTGTCCACCTCGAAGTCAAAGTCCAGTTCGTCGGGGCAATCAATGGGTTCTGGCGGTGCTGCAGCTGCTTCCGTTTCCTTTTCCGCCTCTGGCTCACTCTTGGAGGTGCCGGTGTTCTTGCTGGACGATGAACTGCTCTTTGACTTGGAGCGCGAGCTCGAGGACCTGGAGTTGTGGTGGTCACTCTTCGAGGCGGTTGATGAGGAACTGCTTTTGTGCCTGCTACTGGAGCTCTTCTCGTCCCGTTGCCTGTCACTGCTGGAGGACTTCTTGCTGGAAGACGAGCTGGAAGACTTGTGCTTGGAGGAACTTGAGCTGGAGGTGTGGCGGTCCTTGGAACGATCCTTTTCGTTTTGGGATGACTTCCGCTTGTCCTTCTCCTTTTCCTTGTCCTTTTCTTTGGATTTTTCTTTCGACTTCTCTTTGTCCTTTGAAATGTCTTTCTCCTTCTCCCTATTATTGATCTTTTCCTTGTCACGGTCTCTCACTTTTTCCCTTTCCTTGTCCTTGTCCCTTTCCCGCTCCTTGCTCGACTTGTGTTCCTTTTTGAGGCAGTCAACGACTTTCTGTGGCTGCTCCTCCGACTGTGTTTTGACCACCTCTTCCTCGTCATTGTTTTCCTGGCTTTGTTCCTCGATCTCCACCTGCATCTGCTCGTCGATCTCTTTTTCCAGAACCGCCTGCCAATCGTCGTAGCCTCCTCCATTTGTGGCTGATGGCTGGCCGGGCACATATTTGGGGGCATTGTCCACGGCCGCCTCCTGTTTCTTCTTTGCCGGCGAGGCGTTCAGAGCCGGCTTCTCCGGGTGGTACTCCAGGTTGGACTTCTTCCGCGGCGCACAGAGCGCGATCTGGGGCAGTGGCAGGGAGAGCAGCTTGGGCGCCGGCTTGTACTCGGGCACGGGGGCGGGTTCTGCGGGCGGAGCGGCCTCCACATCGTCTGAAAACCGGAAGTGGTTAGTGTTTCATGCAAATCGACTGCAAGCTCTCACCTTTGCGGGCATGTTTGAAGTGACAAAAGGGACGACGGCAGGCCTCTGCATCCTTGCCGTCGAAATACGGGCACAGAAAGCCCTTGAAGAGGCCCGTGGACGGCAGCATTTCGGGCGCTGGCGAGGATTCGCAATTTATTCAAGCCGCTCAATAAAGCGTCCCAAATTTCGTTCTATTTTCTCTGTTGCCGTCTCTTTCTCTCATTTCGTCAGTTGTCACAAACAGCTGTTCTCCAGCGTTACCAGATGGGTGGCAGCTTGGGTGCTATGACTGGCATTTCATTTGTTTATATATATTTTTTATTTTATTGATTTAATATAATTAATTTAATTTTTGTAAGTGCAAGAATAAGTTTAGTTTATAATAATTAATAATATTAGAAATAGTGACAGTTGATATGTGTGATATTTCCGTCGTCTGCTTGGCGCGAAACTTCATTCAGCAAAATTCCGACACAATAAAAACTCTGAGATTAAATGTTAAAATAATAACGTCAGTTTGTGGAATAATTATTACAAATCATGAACAAAGTTGTATTTTAATAATAGCGAATAATAACAAAGGCATGCGAAAAGCTTGGCAACTCTAATAGTCAGCTGTTCGCACTGCCAGCGGTTTTGCAATCGCTTGTAAACAAAGTGTCTTCAGTTAAATGACACAATTATTAATTAAAATAACTACTAATTCGCTTGCTTATCTGCTCAAATGTTATCAGTTATAAGTCTAACTGCAGTAGCACATTAAATCGGGTATAAACTTCAGTTATTTATCTGCCGTCTCGCTTGCAGGTGTGTGGGTGTGTACGCTAGAATTTATAATCTAGAAATCTATATAGAAATTCAAATGAAACCGGTTCTTATCAATTGCCGACGCAGTCTGCCATCGATTGCTAATGAGTGAGGTGATAAATGTAATATCACACTGAGTCAGAGGACGCGGTAGGCGGACCCCGCGATGCGATAGTATGTATATAGAGCTTCAACGAGGTTTGCTGCGATAGCAGACCTCTGTTTGGGTTCAGTCGTATAACGGCAGTCTGGCGGTTCGGGTCTCTTAGACAAACGTAAATTCAATCGAGTCCAAAGGTCAGTTGCCGAGAAATTGGCCAGTGATTTCACCAGCGCGCCGGCAGTTCTCTGGGAATATAAATATTTAAAAAGCACCCAATCCGACAGAGAAGCACGGACTTTGTGCCCCTGATTGGTGGATTATCTCGCTGTCTACCTTTATGCCAACCAAACATATGACTTTGAACTTCACACATTCACACCTCGTAGTTACATATTAAATTACCATTAAATTGTGATTTTAGCAAACATTCCTAGTCTCTATCCTACTAGATTTGTTAAATATATCTTGATAACAAGTTCTTTTCGGTTTGAATGTATTTATTGTTGGAACTTTGGACCCGAAATGTACACGAAAGTGGTTCCAGATTTGATTAGTGTTTTGCTTTCAGTCTGAACATAGGCCTTTTGTTAGCCACTCGCAAACTAATCTTCACACTCTGCACTATTCCCTGCAGATAAACCACCATGGATCGGGCGAGCCTATATTTCATGAACAAAGATGATAAGAACACCTTTGACTTTGACGAGACGCTGCCGTCGCTCCCTTTGCCGGAACTAAAGGACACCATGGAGCGGTACTTCACCGCCATCCAGCCATTCGGGACCAAGGAGGAGTTGACTCAGGCAAGAAAGACCATCAATGAGTTCCAGAATGGAGTGGGCGCCCAGCTCCACGAACAGCTCAAGAAACGGGCGGCCAGCATGAAGAACTGGCTGGGAACTTGGTGGGAGGACTACGCATACCACTTGACCCGAATGCCGCTCCTGCCCTACCAACTTATGGTGATGCCCTGTCAGTTGGAGATGGTCGGTGTGCCGGAGACCACGGAATACATGCTCAAGGTGAGTTTGCAGACCTAGACAAGCTCAATAAGAGCAATTCAAATCGTAAGATAGTAGAATATTGGAATATAAATTGTATAAAAAGCAATCAATCTTACCTAAGCTTGGTGTTTTGCAAAGATTTTAGATTGGTGCCGTTGTCACATCATTTTTGTTACTACCTCAACAATGCAGAGGTCGATTTTAAAAATGTGCAATTTCAATTAACGCTAGTAAGCTACAAAAAAATTGGCATACTTAGAACAAATTTGAGTAGCAAATTGTGTTTGCAATTAAACAGTTTGGTTTTAAAAAGACATACTGTTCCCAGGCAGCAAACTTGTCCGTTAAGCTACTTTGTGTTTAAATATTCATGTTTTGTTTAATTTAACTCTTTCGATCGAAGTATAATTTGAAGAATCTACTGTATTTATATTTTATTAATTTTGTGTAATTTCTTGGTTGACTTTCAAAATTGCTCAGAGTTTGGCCCGGCACATTCACCATACCCTTGAGTTTTGGGATCTGACTCGCAACTCCAGCATCAAGCCACTTTCCTCGAACGGAGGGAAGATTAAATACTCTTCTGCACTTTACAAGCACTTCTTTTCCACGTGTCGTATTCCCGGCGAGGAGCAGGACCACATCGAGAAGCATTTCCTAACCAAGGATGAGGGCAAGACGCCCAGTCACATCCTGATCTCCGGCAAGGGACGCCAATTCATCCTGGACTGTGTGCATGAAGACGACACTATTCTGACGGCTCCCGAAATTCTGGTGGCGGTGCAACGACTGCGCAGCATCCTGGACTACGAGCCGCTGGGTGACTGTGTGCCCACTCTCAGCCATGACGACCGGACCACGTGGGCTCGCAACCGCAACAGACTGAGGGAGATCTCGGAGGCCAACAAGGAGACTCTGCTGCTGGTGGAGAGCGCCAGCATGGAGATTTGTTGGTACGACCAATCGCCCAAGGACTACGAGGAGTCCTCACAGCTGGGTTTGTTCGGCGACCTCCATTCCCGCTGGGCGGATCGTAGCAGCAGCATCAATGTCTTCCGCAACGGACGCTCCAACTGGACGGGCGAGCACAGCTGTTACGATGGCACCGTCAGCATCAGTTTCGCCACCTTCATGCAGCTGAGCTTCTTGGAGGTGCCAGAACCTGACTGGACAGAGGCCGAGCACGGCAAAGTGGTGGAGATCAAGGAGCTGAAGTTCCAGCTGGACGACACTCTCAAGAGCGAGATTAAGCGCGTTCAAAAGGATATCGATGATAGGGTATGTAAAGTATATATATATATACATTTCGATAATTAACTCATTTCTTTTTTCAACCTTGTTAGGGCATTGATGTTACAACGACTTTCACTGTGTTCGATGACTACGGCAAGGAGTTTATGAAAACCCACCGCCTGCATCCCGATTCCTTTGTCCAGGTGGTCATGCAATGGACCTACTACCAAATGCATAAAGAGTAATTGTTATACGGGTGTTCTAAGCACAATTTGGATTAACTTTATACCCCACAGAATTGCTCCCACCTACGAGACCGCCCTGATGCGACAGTACTACAATGGACGGACGGAGACGCTGCGATCCTGCACAAATGCTGTGGCCGAATTTCTGAAAGCCTCCTCCAACAAGCAAGTCGGTGACATGTCATTGGCCCGGGCTTTCCGCAAAGCCGTCGATGAGCACAAGCACTTTATGAACGAGGCCCGTAAGGGACATGGCATCGACAGACATTTGTTTGGCCTGTGGTGCGCGGCATACGAAAACAAAATGGACATTCCCGCCTTCTACGATGATCCATTGTACACGAAGAGCGGCGGCGGGGGGCAACTTTGTGCTCTCATCTAGCACTTTGGGCTTCACTGCCAACGTGGGCTTTGTGGCGCCCATGCTACTCGATGGCTATGGCGTATTTTACTCCATCACCTCGGAAGCGTAAGCTTATTCTATCTGTTTGTTATACTCCGCCAAAATGTAATATTATGCCATTGCCAGTGTGTTCATCAATACCACCGCCTATCGGGATAGCATCAAGACGAGCGCCCGCAAGTTCAACGACATCTTCAAGGACTCGTTCCGTCGCATTAGCGTTCTGTTGGAGCAGCTTGCCAAGGTGTCAAAGCTGTAAAAAGCACATCTTAGCACATTTAGAAATTATTTAATTTATCTATTCCTGTTCTCGTTTATAATTTCGATCAAACAGAACACTTTTCAATGCTTATTTACTTTTTAATGAATACTGAACCGAATTTATAAAACTTTTTGCTCCAGCAAATAATTGATTGCTGATTCATTTTATTAAGAAGTTTCCTAATTCTACCCACCTTTGATCGGAATATAATTGAGTACTGACCCTTTGTAGGTAGTGTGTAAGTTAATATGTCAACACAGGGTGTGCAGCATTCCAAAGTAACTTCGTGTTAAACGTTTATTTAAATTCAATGTTCGATTAGTTTAGGCAAATACATTTCTCTCGGTAATTCTTGTTTCAACTCTAAAATGCGGCTAAATAAGCTAAGCGCCTAGCCGCTTGAATACGTTCAACACTTTTTGACTTTCGACTTAAAAAGCGAGCGCTGCAGCTGGCCCTAGAAACTACGTAAAAATTAATTGGAGCTTGCGCCGGATTACATAATATATATACTCGTTCTATATACGAAAAGCTTTCGTTAGTAAGTTCGATTATCTGAGAGCTAAATGCTAATTACAAATGGTTCTTACTGCGTTTCTACATTTCAATGCAACACGCCGAGTCGCAGACCCGAGGACAGAATGGGGGAAAAAAAAATCAGATGAGCTGAGTTTGGAGCTGGTTCGTTCACCTAGTGTGGCGGGGGCGGAGGTCGGTAGTAGCCAGCGTGCGGCGGCAGCATTGAGTAGCCGGCGGAGGGAGGCGGAGCGATCCTTTGACCTCGTCTCTGCTGCTGCTGCTGTGGCGGCAAGCCGGCGTACGCCTGCACTCATTCCTGCCCAGTGGCCGGCACCGGCTGGAGGTTCTGCTCGGCAGCCGGTGGAGTGGCCCCTGCCTCGTCCTTCGATCCTCCTCCTCCCGGTGCGGCGCCCTCGCCGGTGGCCTGGAAGGCCGAAGGTCGCTGCACAAACATGTTGTCGATGATGTGATCGATGTTGTCCGATATGCCCTCCTCCTTGGCCCCGCCCTTGCCCTTGTGCTTCTCGGAGGGCGGCAGGATGGGGATGGCGTTCGTGGGACGACGCTGGGGCAGGGCAGCTGGTCGGCTGGCGGTTTGGGCCGGCGGCACAAAGTAGGTGGTGCCGCCCACCGTGTTGTAGTTCTGATACGGCTGGGCGGGCTGCGCTGCGGGCGGAGCCTGGGCGGGCGGCGGTGTGGGTTGCGGCACCACCGAAGGCGCTGCCTGGGCGTAGGCCACGGCAGCTGGAGTGGGAGGCAAATAGGCGGCACTGGCCGAATTTACGTAGGGTGCCTGGGGCACCGCCACGGGCACTGGCTCCGTCCCGGTCACGTAATACGGTGCCGCCTGGGCCTGTGGATATGCGGCGGCCGACGGGGCATGTGGTTTTGGTGGCGCTGGCACTGCTCCTGCTGCAGTGGGTCCCAGTTGCATGGTCTGTAGCTGTGCCTGCAGCTCCTGCTGTTGGTAGGCAATCTGCATCAGCATGTGTGGGTCCTGGATCATGATCTGCGATTGCTGCGGCTGTTGTTGTTGCTGGTGACACAATCCTGCAAGATGTTAGATGATACCAAAAGAAAAGAAATGTATAAGGTAAACTGTGTCCCAAAAAGAGAGGCGAACACACGTATGTATTTTGACTCGCCTGGTGATAACGTTAAAGATATCGTATTCCTTTAAAAATTTGATCAATTTCAATGTTAAAAATAGGAATATAAAATCGATTCCAAGTGAAGCAAAATGTATTATTTTTTGTTTGTAACAGTCAGTTTGGATTTAAGGGTTACACTTTTGAAATGAAAACGTTGATACAAAATGTACATAAATAGCTCCTGAAAATTCTTGCCTGTCATTTTTGTAAAGAAATATTATATTTGGATCATTTTGAAACTAGTCTCTCAGTCCGAATAATATATTCCCAAAAGTATTTAATTGTAAGTAGGACTACTATATCACATAGCCGCCATATCTTAAAATTAAGAACTCTTACAACTTTTCCAAATTAGATCCATCTGTCTTGTCAACTTGTTTAACATTTCTAGTTATTTATAAGTTTGAAATAATATTAAGTTGCAGGAAACCAAGTAACTTATTACGTAATGCATATCTTTAAAAGATATGAACAATATTACCGATATTGAATTTTCAACTTACCGATTTGCTGTTCCAGACTAGACTGTTGCTGGGGATAGCGGGCCTGCTGCTGATCCGCCAGGTGTTGGGAGGCCTCCTGCTGGGAACGTCGTAAGCTGGAGTAGCGCTTGGGCGCGTTTCGTTGCTCCTGGTGCTGTTGTGGCGCCTGACTCTGGCTGGCCAGCGAGTGCATCTGGACACTGCCCACATGGCTGGGATCGTTGCGCTGCTGCACCTGCTGCAGGCGTTGCGACAGGTTGGTCGTGGAGAGCGGCGTCTGCGCGGTCTGTTGTTGCTGGGGCGGCTGTCGCTGCTGCTGTGGCTGCTGCAGGTGCTGAGGCTGCTGCTGCTGCTGCTGCTGCGGCTGTTGCTGGTTGGAGCGTGGAGTGGTCTGCTTCTGGTTGCGATTGTCCAGTTGGTCGGGTCCCCTCTCACGCTCACGTGGCTGCTGTCCGCGGTTGTTCTTCTTGAACTCTATGCCATTCTGACGTCCTGGGCCGCCGTTCATCCGCCCAAAGTTGCGGTTCTTGGGCTCGCGATCCCGCTCACGCTCCCGCTCCCGCTCCCTTTCACGCTCGCGTTCCCGCTCCTGCGATCTGTGCGGATTCGAGCCACTGGCCAAGGGCTGCTGCTTCTCGGCCACCAAAGCTCCGCCACCGATCGAGCGTCGGTTCTCCTTCTCCTCGCGCGACGAGGATGTTCTTGGCCCTCGTGGCTTCCGCTCATTGAGGGCCGGGAAGTCTTGTGGACGTGGCGGTTTTCGCTCCTTATTGCTGGCCTTTAGATAGGCCTGTTCGTCCTCCCAGTTCCTTGAGTACTTGCTCGGACCGCGGGTATATCGACGGCGGCGTCGGGCCCGAGGCGGTGCGTCCTCGTTCCTTATATCGTAGCCGTAGGTCTGCAACAGCTCTGCCCGGGATTTGGGCCCCTGATCCGCGGCCTCAAAGCGATCGTGTGACCAGCGATCGCCGCCCGACGCTGGCTGCCACTTGCGCATGGTCTTGGAGGCCTGTGAGATCTGGGGCGTTTGGCCAGTGGGCGTTGCTCCGGCGGCCGCCAGTCCGTTGAGATCGCCATTTGGCTCCGTCGGTGCCTGGCCAGCACCGTTCTCCGGTTCGATCAGCACCTCGCCCTCGTTCTCCGCCGTTCGGTCGTCGTGTTCGTAGAAAGTGCCCCGCTTGGGGATGTACTGGGGATTGCTACGGTCCTCGTCCACCTTCTTCTGGGCCTCGCTGTCGGCGACGGAGCGGTCCATTGCCTGCTCCCCCTCGGCATCCTCCGATTCGCTGCCCACCTCCTCGTCCTCGTCGTCGGTCTCCGACTCCTCTTCGCTTCCACTGCCACTTGCGCTTCCGCTGGCACTCTCCTCGTCGTCGTAATCCTCTCCTCCCTCCAGATCGCTGGCCGTGTCGTACTCCGAGTCGTGCGGATGCGAATTGGAGTTGGGTTCCTGAGTGGGCGAGGTGCCCGGCTCAACATCCCCGGCGGCATCCGCTGTGGGCGTTACGGCCACCTCGCTTGCGATGGGAGGCGTGGCCTGGGGGATGTCGGTCGGGGGCGTGGCCGCCGTCGGTTTCTCCACTTCGGCCATCGCGGGGTCTCTTCGATTTTCTGCCTCGCTACTGCTGCTGCTGCTTCTTCTGGGGAATGGAATGGGTTGGGATTCTAGGTGTCACTGGGACGGCTACGCTACAGTTTCCTATCGCAACTCACGTGCAAATCCTCGCTAAGTGCTGACTGCTCTATTAATTATGCTGTTCGGAAATGGAAATTGTGCAGAAAAACCAATCTTTTCGCTGAGTTTTCTCGACAACAACGCAATCAGAAAATAGAAAGTCTAGGGTTACCTTTCTCCTTCGCCGCAGTGCTGCAAAATGCTACACAGCACAAGTACGTAAGCCTTGGGTGAGAAAACGTAACGTGGCAATAAAACGTTTTGCAGTACTGGCCATGGTGGTTAAGCTAATCATTTTTAAATTTACAAAAAAAAAAAAAATTAAACAAATTAATTTTGTTATATTTGTGACTATATTTATATATTTACTTAATGTGTAAAATTTATTCATACTTTTATCTGTAACATTTAGGACTAAAACAAGTCAAAAATGGTCATTGTACAATTAGGTTATTTGAATTCATTTTCTTTTAATGTCCAATTGCTTCTTAAATTAGAAATATTTGTACGTGGAAAACCGTATTTTCTTTCAAATTCCTATATATTTTCTTTCAGTGTGTGCATCCCATCCCCGTAATCGAAACTGTAATCGGCGCTGTGTCATCTCTAGGCCAGCTGTTGGAGGAGAAAGAGAGCGCAAAGCGGAGTTCGAATAAAGACAGACGGTTAATTAATATCACATCACGGGCAAAAAGCAACTCCGCAGAACAGGAAAAGATGTCGAAGTTTCTGGGCGTGCCGCTGAAGAAACCGTCGGAGGTGGATGTGGTCAAGCCACTGAACAATCTAATACAAAGTACCTACAACGGGGCGACGGAGGAGGAGAAAAGCAAGTATGCGGAGGCAGTAAACGAATTTTCGAAACAACGCAATACGGCGATTTGGAAATTCTTTGAGAAATACGAGGCTTCACTGGAGATTGTATATGCGTGAGTATTTGGAGGTATTTTGTGGCCTTTTTCCGGGGATATCCGGATGAGTCACCGGCTGAAAAGTAGGAGCCAATCACACTCATACTTATAGTGCTACCTGGTGCTTCTGTATTAGTGAGTGGTCAGACGTAAACAAGCTATCGGATGACGTAGTCGTTTACTAATCGGTATTGTTGCCTCCGGGTATTATCATCTCTTTTATATCCGTAGCTATTATGATCAGATCTGTGCGCTGGAGACAAAGATTTCAGTTAGCGAACTGCAGATACCCTTCAAGTGGAAGGATGCCTTCGACAAGGGCTCCATTTTCGGCGGCAAGATCAGCCTGAGTGAGTGATTCATCCATAGGCCTATTTATTTCACCACTGACCTCCCATCCGAATCTCAACAGCCCACACCTCCCTGCTCTACGAGAAGGTATGTGTCCTCTTCAACATTGCCGCCCTTCAGAGCAGCATCGCTGCTAATCAGGCACTAGATTCGGATGAGGGGCTCAAGCTGGCCATTAAGCTGCTCCAGCAGAGCGCCGGCATCTTCCAGTACTTGAAGGGGGCCACGCCGGCAGCGGTGCCTTCGGAGCCCACGCCCGATCTCAGCCAGGACACGCTGACCGTGCTTCAGGCTTTGATGGTCGCTCAAGCCCAGGAGGTGTTCATCTTGAAGGCCATTAAAGGTATGCTGAAACTTATTCGAATTATGGCACAAAAACAACAAGAAAAAACTGCTCTTATCTATGAGTTTAGTTTCTTTATTTACAAAAGGCTATCGCTATTATATCAGTTGATAGTCTCTTTAAATAGGTCGTCGTTTAATAACTTAAATAGATTTTGAAAAGCTCTTAATTGAAAATCTTTTAAAATATGTTAGTTTATTTTGTAAATCCATTTTAAAATTATCTTATATATTGTTATCCTAAAAAATTTGAACATAAAACTCGTAGGTCCTACACTTTATAAACAATCAAATATATTAATTGCATTTTTAGATTAACATTCTTATACATACTGTATTTAATGGAACGCTTATTCATTTATTAAATTTATCAGAAGTCTTTTGCAAAGATAAATCCAAATCCAAAGGTATGACCTATGTACTTTAACTTACCCTCAGATAACATGAAGGACCAGATCATCGCCAAGCTGTGCTGCCAGGCGGAGGAGTTCTACGCCGATGTGCTGCGTGCAATGCAAAAGGAGTCTGTTCGCAGTCTGTGGGAGAAGGAGTGGATCCCGACAGTGGCTGGCAAGCAGGCCGGCTTCCATGCCCTCACCCAACTGTACCAGAGTCTCGTGTGCCGTGCTTCCAAGAAAATTGGCGAGGAGATTGCCCGCTTGCGCAATGCCATTGAACTTTTCAAGGCGGCGCAATCTCGCGGTGGAAACGAGACCTACTTGGACGAATACTTCAGCCGTGCCAAGCGCAACCTGGCCGAGTCCACCAAGGACAATGAGTTTATTTACAACGAAATTATACCCGATCTGAGCACGCTGCCCTCGCCGGGCAAGGCCCAGTTGGCCAAGCCGCTGCCCATCGGTGTGCCTCTGGCAGCAAACTTTAAGGACATCTTCTCCAGCCTCGTGCCCGTGGAGTTGCATCGCGCCCTCACCGCCTCCGATATGCGCCGCAATGAGATCGTAAATGTGGAGATCATGAAGCTGCGTGAGGCCACGCAGACTCTGAACGCAGTGCTGGCCAGCTTAAATCTACCAGCCGCTGTAGAGACGGCTGATGGCAACAGTGGTCTTCCGCCGTCACTGAAGGACAAGGCCCTTGAAGTGCGCCAAAAGGGCGGCATTGAGAATGTGCAGACGCTGCTCAAGGATCTACCCGAGCTGCTAAACCGCAACCGCGAGATCCTGGATGAAACCGAACGACTTTTGGACGAGGAACGCGACTCCGACAACCAGTTGCGGACTCAGTTCAAGGAGCGCTGGACTCGCATCGGCTCCGACAAGCTGACGGAGATGTTCCGCACCAATGCGAAGAAGTACCGCGAAGTCATCACCAATGCCATTGAAGCCGACAAGGTGGTTCGCCAGAAGTTCGAGGCCAACCAAAAGGGCATCCAACTGTTGTCCCTGCCACCCGATCAAATCCAGCAGTCCCTTCCCTCGGCCAGCGGCAGCGTGGATCCCAACTGCTCCAGCGTGCAGCGTCTTAAGAAGCTGATGGACGACGTGGAGACCATCAAGGCGGAGCGCGAAGCCGTGGAGTCGGAACTGAAGGCGGCTACGTTCGACATGAAGGACGAGTTTTTGATTGCCCTGCAGAAGGATGGTGCCATCGATGAGCCCGCTCTGTCATTGGCTCGCATTGGCCAGGTGCTCAATCCCCTGCAGCAGCAGGTGCGCGAAAGCGTGGAGCGCCAGCAGTCGCTGGTTGCCGACATCCAGAGCGCCCACGGTGCTTTTGTCTCGGAGACAGGCAGCTGCGGCAGTTCGCGGGACACCTTGTACCAGGAACTGGCCACCGCCTACGACAGCTACATAGAGCTGTCCGGAAACCTACAGGAGGGCACCAAGTTCTACAACGACCTCACACAGCTGTTGGTCGTCTTTCAAAACAAGATTAGCGACTTTGTGTTTGCCCGCAAAACGGAGAAGGAGGAGCTGCTCAAGGATCTGACCACGGAGTCCAGTCGCCAGGCTTGTCCGGCCACTCCGGCACTGCCCTCGCACTACGCCTCCACCTCGGGCAGTGGCAGCGGTAAGTGGAGGAGCTTCTCTCTTAACTTTAATATGGAAACGTATATCAACTATGATTTCTTCCCTTAGATATTCCACCTGGCTCCGCCCCGAGTGTGCCATCAGTGGCATCCACGGGCAACATTCCGTATCCGGCTCAGGTGCACGGCATGCCTGTGCCGTATGGAGCACAGCCAGGTGTGCCATATCCCGCCTATGTACCCGCGCCCATGCCACAGAGCTTCAATCCATACGCCACCTTGCCGTATCCTGGCAGTAAGTGATAGAGCCCAAATAATTTGGATTTCCGGTAATGAGTAATCTTTCCAGCAGCCTATCAGTACCAGGGATTCCCGCAGGGCCCTCAACCCGGCCACTATGGCACCTACCCCGGCAGCTATGCCAACCAGCAGGGCGGCTATCCCAACCAGAAGCCACCGGGCTGGTAAACCATTAACCATAAACTTATCAAGTTCATGTCCACAAGTGCACAGCATGTTCCGCCCAAGGGTCAATCGCATGGCAGAGCCTCGGTTGAGTCTGGTTGGATGGATGGATGGAGAGGCAAGATGGGATGGTATTCGGCATTTAATGCTCCGTGTTCTGGTTCTGTTTGAAAATTGTATCATACATGTTGATGGCTTACTGGATTTTAATCTCATATATGCAACAATATTATCACCTATCACAGTAAAGTGCTTTCCCTAGATTTGTCTGTTCAGCTAAGACGTTTCACTTTGTCGCAGTCTCCGGAAGAACTCCCGTTTCATTCCGGCAATTACCCGCGGAGCACACATGCTGCTCACCAGAAGCTCCCAGGTGGAGCATATCGGAGTGGGCTCAGGTGGTAGGTGACTTGCCCCAGGAATCTGGAATCTCCTGGCGTTACTCTTCAGCAGCAGCTTGTACTCCTCCTGGGGCATCACATCCAAGGGTCGCACGGACAGGTTGATGCTGTTTAGAAGGCTCTGCCAATCCGCTTGGCTGATGTAGTCGGTTTCCCAGAGCTTGCGATTGCTCTGGCCGCTTTCCATGTTCTGCACCGCCTGCTTGAACTGGGCAAACAGCTCGCTGGGCTTGGCCGAGATATCGTCCAGCTGGTTGGGATTGAGGAGATACTGCTTCATCTCTTGGCTCTCGCCCTTGACGCAGCTCTCCACGATGTGCTTGACCAGGAACTCGTCCAGAGCCAGATCCATGTCCGCTTTGAGCGGCACCCAGTAGTTGACACTCAGCGAGGTGGACATGGCCTCGACGTAGTGCCACCAGTGGCGTGGCACGATGAGCACATCGCCGGCCTGCAGGGTGCAATGATAGGCATCGCGGCCTAGTTCCTCATACCGCTGCATCTTGTCCGGATCCGGGGCGTAGAAGTTGTCCAGGCAGTAGACACTGGACTCCTCGTACGGAATCCTCGTGCTCTGCAGTGGCGTTTCGGGCGGAAAAAGCAGCCAGGACTTGAAGCCGTGCACCTGCACCACGATGTTCACGCCGAAGGTGTCGTAGTGGCACGGCGTGTTGGCCTGCTCCGATCCCAGCCAGAGGCTGAAGTCGTTGCCGTGCTCCGGGAAGCCGAAACAGGAGAAGTCGATGCCCTTCAGGCAACTGGCTGGCATCTCGTGGGCACGCTTGTACTGATATGCCGCCCAGTGGGTTTGATTCTCCTCCAGTACGCCATACTCGCGCAGGAACTGCTGCATGCCCAGGTGGCTGGTCTTGGTCCGCTTCCGCTCCCACTGGGGTGTCGTGCTGTCCGACAGGGCCATCAGCTCGAATTCCGGAGGATCGGTGGCCTCCTGGTCGAAACGCTCGCACCAATCGTGGAGGGAGCCCCCGAAGCACTCCCATTCCAGCGGGAACTGGTCCAGGATAAGAGGGACGCGGGTGTTTAGGATGAGTTCCCTCAGCTTGGAGTTCAGTGACATTTTTCAATTGTTTTTATTTTGATTATACTGGGGCCAGTGTGGCTATACCTAAAATTTGATAAAATAACGTTATGTTTTCTGTTATTAATTAAAAAACAGTTTATTCGGCTTTTCTTTAGAATTCAACCAATGTAAAACTTTTAAGATACTTTTAAATTTAAGATGAAGTTTTATTTAGGAGATTTACAGATCCGCTTAATTTTTCTTACCATATAGTAAGAATGCTTTGTTTAATACTATACAACTTCATTAGCTCTACTAAATTTAAAATGGTTTTATACTAATTAAATACCTGGCTTACATTGTATTGAATACCAGTAAAATGTTGTCTTTTGTTTTTCAATAAAAAAATAACGGCTTTAATTCGCCTTTCTTCAGAGTTATGAAATAACGGCTCAATTGTTTTTGACTTGCCTACAGATGATGGTTTGGTATATGGTAATAGTTATAATAATTTAATATAGTAATATTTTAAATGGTTTACATAAATGAAAAGATAAATGTAAACATTAAAAGTTATCTTGTTTAAGCCGATCTTTAACAATTTTGTTGATTTCTTACAAGAACTATTCGTTTTGTCCGCCGTATAAGCTAAAATCTTTTTTTCTGTCTCCAGATGAGCTTTTTGGGGTATTTCGTCGATCGCTACCTGGTCACACTGCCACCGCCCGGCTTTTCCCGCCTCCTCTGTCTTATCGCCATTCGTTCTCCACTCGCCATTTGGATCTTGTCGTAAAACTTTCCACTTAACTAAAAAGATGTCTGCTACCGAGGGCAAGGTGAGTACAGCAGCGGGAATGTTAATTAGCAGAAACACTTCATTGCTTGTCAATTTCACCCCCAGGTAATCACATGCAAGGCTGCAGTGGCGTGGGAGGCCAAGAAGCCGCTGGTCATCGAGGACATCGAGGTGGCGCCGCCCAAAGCGCATGAGGTATGTACATAGATATCTCAGTGGAAAATTCCACTCCCGATAATCCGACTCGGTTATCACCTCGAATCTCCCAAATAGGTGCGCATAAAGATCACGGCCACAGGCGTCTGCCACACGGATGCCTTCACCCTGAGCGGTGCTGATCCGGAGGGCCTTTTCCCAGTGGTCCTGGGCCACGAGGGTGCCGGCATCGTGGAGAGCGTTGGCGAGGGAGTGACCAACTTCAAGGCCGGCGACCATGTCATCGCCCTGTACATCCCGCAGTGCAACGAGTGCAAGTTCTGCAAGAGCGGCAAGACGAATCTTTGCCAAAAGATCCGACTGACCCAGGGCGCTGGCGTCATGCCCGAGGGCACCTCCCGTCTCAGCTGCAAGGGCCAGCAGCTGTTCCACTTCATGGGTACCTCCACTTTTGCCGAGTACACGGTGGTGGCCGACATTTCACTGACCAAGATCAACGAGAAGGCGCCGCTGGAGAAGGTCTGCCTGCTGGGCTGCGGCATCTCCACGGGCTATGGAGCCGCCCTGAACACAGCCAAGGTGGGTCCACTAAAGTTCCTCTTTCTTATTGGTTACCTAAAATGTCATTTCAGGTGGAACCTGGCAGCACCTGCGCAGTTTGGGGCTTGGGAGCCGTAGGCTTGGCTGTGGGATTGGGCTGCAAAAAGGCCGGCGCTGGCAAGATCTATGGCATCGACATCAATCCCGACAAGTTTGAGTTGGCCAAGAAGTTCGGTTTCACCGACTTTGTCAACCCCAAGGATGTGGCCGACAAGGGAGCCATCCAGAACTACTTGATTGACCTGACCGATGGTGGTTTCGACTACACATTCGAATGCATTGGCAATGTGAACACCATGCGAGCCGCTTTGGAGGCCACGCACAAGGGCTGGGGCACCTCGGTGGTCATCGGAGTGGCCGGTGCCGGCCAGGAGATCTCCACGCGACCCTTCCAGCTGGTCGTGGGTCGCGTGTGGAAGGGTTCCGCCTTCGGAGGCTGGCGCTCCGTTTCGGATGTGCCCAAACTGGTGGAGGACTACCTGAAGAAGGATCTGCTGGTGGACGAGTTCATCACCCACGAGATGCCGCTGGCGGAGATCAACGAGGCGTTCGACCTGATGCACAGGGGCGAGAGCATTCGCTCCATTATCAAGTACTGAAGATGATTGTTTCTCTTTCACGTTTTTTTTATACCACCATGCGATTGCTTAGAATAATAAACACCCAGTTTGTATGTAATACTATCTGCATTGGGGGTCTGGTTCCGCCACTCATAATTGCTCGGCTTTGCTTATCTGCCTTGGCCCACTAAGGCTATCGGGCTCAAAGTTCGACGACTTTGAATTCTTCGAGATTGTGGCTACTTTAAATAAAGTATTTCGTGACATTGGTCAATAATTATCAAGGCATCCCGATGACCCAAAATGGACTCTAAGCCGGACATCCTCCGCAGTATCAAATATTTTGCAAATAGCACATGAATACTAAGCAGTCGTGACGTCTTAGTTAGAACAAACAAGTTTTGCCAAGCTAATTAGACTGATTCGTTAGAAAAACAAAAAATATTTGCATTGCTCTAAGTATTATTATGCTACGCACCAATTAAGATGGATAAACCAGATATGCCCGCAATGAAAAGTCAGGGTTACACGTATAGAATGCCTGTATTTGAGTACGCACTTACACGCGCGCAATTACTTAAAAATGCTAATAAGTCTAGTATGTTGCTGTGTTCAACAAACGTGCATGCAGTTTTGGTTTCGTCGTTTAAATATAGTTCTCATTTTAAATGCATATTTCTCATGGAACTGGCTAGCTTATATACAAGTGTCTTTTAAATAGTACGATATTGCATATACGAGTAAAACGTTTAATTTGATCGACTTTGCTTGTGACTAAGAATTTCGCTGTCGTTAAAAACACACAGAGCTGCAATTTTCAAATACATTCGAGTATAAATATGTTCCTTAGATCTAGAAGAGTATGAATACGATTGCAAGACTGTTTGGGGGGGCACTAGAACTTGAATCTATCAAAAACACAAGAGATGGTGTACAGGGAGCTATGGATTATTCTAGGAGTTGGTTTCTGCTTGAAACTATTTGAGCAGGGGCAGGACCAGAACAGTCCGCCTCACATCCGCGAATTGTAGTACGGGTCGTCCTCGCAGGGCGGGTATCCGTACATGTACGGATGGTGGCATTGCACTCACGACCAGCGCGACTTCTGCAGGTCGATCTGGCCCTCCAGGGTCTTCGCCAGATAGATCACGAACAGCTGCAGCAGGGCGATGCCCAAGGCCACGCCGGCAATCACATACAGGTTGCGCTCCACCCAGACGCGCACGATCTCGATGCAGCCGCTGGTCCAGATGCGCTTGCTGGCGGCAGCCACCGACTGCTCCTGCACGCCGTATCCGCACATTATGTTCACCAGGCCGGAGCTGATGTCGGTGGCATTGATGCAGCAGCTGTACGGCACGCCGCACTTCTCCACCGACGGCGAGGAGCAGTTGAAGTACTCGTTTTTGCCTGTGTTTGGGGAGAGATGGATTCGATTAAATGCCTGTACCACTGATCATTGGAAAACAAAACAATGTTTTCACACAGAAAAGAAACATATATATAATCAACCCTTTAATTGTTGAAACCCTGCCAATTACAAATACAGTTCAAATCCAAGTTCAACCATTAGGCGCTAATGATTTTTAGTGTCTTTTATGTTCTTAATGGCGGGAACCAATGGATTTGGATGGCTAAAGTGCAGATTCCTTCTACTTACTCCAATCCTGGTAGCCGGCGTTGCTGAGACCGCAGCACTTGAACTCCTGCTGGGCAAAGTCGATAAAGTTCTGCAGGTCGGAGTCGTCGCGGTACGAGTGGATGATCTTGTCCGTGAACTGGTACTCCAGGAACGAGTTCATGTACTGGGGGAAGACGAAGCAGATGATGGCCAGCGTCATCTCGAGGATGAAGAACATGAGCAGGCACATGGAGTAGAACTTCAGGAGGCAGGTGTTCTCACGCAGTGCGCCCAAACAGCCGGCGAAGCTGACCGAGAAGACGACGACCCCGGCGATGATCATCACCAGAGAGATGTTGAAGATCACGTCGTAGACGGTGTCGAATCTCACCCAGCCGTTGCCGTCCTTCAGCTTGTCCATGAAGGCGTAGACTCCGATGGCCAGGAGCAGGCCGCCGAATAGCCAGAAGAGGAAGTTCAGCAGGAAGATCATGTACTTCACGCACGAGGACACGTAGGTGAAGTGGTGGGGGTATGACATCCTCGGATGCATGTAGTTGCCCCCCTGGTGGTATCTGTGGTTGCTCATCGCCTCGGGAGCTCCGCTTTCCGGTTTTCAGTGGAGTTTTCGGATGAGTATCGCTTTTCCTGGTCTTTTTGTTCTGGTTTCCTCCCCCACTATTTTCCGTTGACGCCCTCTTTGCGTGTGGTCTTTTCTGCGGCCTGCTCAAGCAATTAACGCATTTTTCAAACTGCGGCAGTGGCTCGTGGCAGTGGCCCAAATCTGATAATTCGCCAAGGCTGCTGTAATTATTTGCCCTGCTTCTTTGTTTTTAATACTGATAGACCATTTTATGGAGAAAAAATAACAAAGTACCCAGCGTTGCCAGACGAGTTGTCGTGCTAAATGTCCAATTTCTCAGTGGTTGGCAACGCGGCCAGTCAGCTGTTTGCAAATAAGTGTTACCATACTGCAGCATTTAGATTGACTCAAAACTCGATTAGACCGATGTTTTGAAAATATCGAATGCATTCGATTAACATCAACTTGATTGGCAACGCTGACAACCATTTTATGGTGAAAAAATAACAAAATACCCAGCGTTGCCAGACGAGTTGTCGTGCTAACTGTCCAATTTCTCAGTGGTTGGCAGCGCTGCCAGTCAGCTGTTTGCAAATAAGTGCTACCATACTGCAGCATTTAGATTGACTCAAAACTCGATTAGACCGATGTTTTGAAAATATCGAATGCATTCGATTAACATCAACTTGATTGGCAACGCTGACAACCATTTTATGGTGAAAAAATAACAAAGTACCCAGCGTTGCCAGACAAGTTGTCGTGCTAACTGTCCAATTTCTCAGTGGCTGGCAACGCGGCCAGTCAGCTGTTTGCAAATAAGTGTTATCATACTGCAGAAATTAGAGTGACTCAAAACTCGATCAGACTGCAGCATTTAGATTGACTCAAAACTCGATTAGACCGATGTTTTGAAAATATCGAATGCATTCGATTAACATCAACTTGATTGGCAACGCTTGCAACCATTTTATGGTGAAAAAAAATAACAAAGTACCCAGCGTTGCCAGACGAGTTGCCGAGCTAACTGTCCAACTTCGCAGTGGTTGGCAACGCGGCCAGTCAGCTGTTTGCAAATAAGTGTTACCATACTGCAACATTTATATTGAGTCAAAATTCGATTAGACCTATGTTTTGAAAATTTCGAATGCATTCGATTAACATCAACTTGATTGGCAACACTGACAACCAACTGTTTTGGTTTTTCATGGGCAGCTGTTTTTCGGTCAGCTTTTTTTGTCTTAGTTTTTAATTTTCCACCGCTGTGCAACATTGCGACGCACGCTTGCTGTGCGCTTGGCGGACTCATAAACAAAAGGCCAAAAATAGAAGCAAAGCAACACCATTTCAGGTGCAATTTAGCAGGTGAGCAGTTTTCCAGGGAAAACAACCCAAGGACACGCGTGTTTAGTGTGGAAAAATGTGATTGTGTGTGTTTTTCTCTATTGACATTGGCGAAGAATTGCGAGCGACTACGAGTTTTCCGCTTATGAGCGTTGCTTTCTCTCTAATGCGCTTTCTCCCAGCAAATCACACAAACACACGGTGCAAGCCAAACGAAAATAGAACGGAGAAATAAAAATACGAATAAAGACGGAAGTGGCAACGCGCATTGCATAAATATTATTTCGCGTGGGCGCAGTAGACAAAACATTGACTTTCCGACGCTTTTCATTTTTTGATTAAATAACCAGATAGTTGTCGCCTGAAATTGGACGAAAATGTTTTCACTTTCTCGCCACGCACTGCGGCGCACTCGAGTTTTCGCCACAAATTGCTACTTTTCAGTTTCAGGTGAGTGACAGGTGGAAAAAATTAATTAGTTTGGAATACCTGTGGGTGTGTCCCGCTTTCATCCAAAAACAATACTCCACTCGCATCGATTGGCCATCCTCTAATTTTAGACACAATTTCTAGTTCAAACTGCCGCCTCGTTTGCATTCTTTATGAACGAATAATAGCAAACGCAATTTCCCCCGCTATTTTCAGCCTCTGCTCGAAACTAATTCATTGTCTTCAATTGCCCGCGACACACTTCGCTGACTTTTCTATTGTTGCGTTCGGAAAACCCAAAATAAAAGGTGACTCCCCACCACCACCTCCGATTGTGTGTGCTTTCGTGTGTTTTCTTTAGGCGCCACTTTGCCTAATTGCCGGCGGCCAGCGTGAAAAACTATTTTTGGCCGAATGCGTTTTTGTTTCTCCACTCCATTTGACGGCTGCACTTAACAAATCTGTTTACACCTTCACCAATTAGCCGCGATGTTTGTATACAAATTCGATGGCTGCACAACTCCAATCTGGAATTCCTTATGTATGGGGTCTAATGATCCGAATTGGAAGTGATCAGATTTGTATATCCACCGCCTACGCTTTGAGTGAAAGCTTTTACATTCTTGTTGGGGGAAAAATACACAATTTATTCGTTTCATTGCTATTTCTAGCCTATGTCTTTATTGGGAAATGCTAATTCCCATTTTCGTGTACATTAAATGCTTTACAATGTACACAAAAAATAAAACTACGTATTCAAAAAAGGGCAAATCTATCCTTAAGACAAAAATGTAGAATTGACTAATCATTTATAATTTAGGCGTTTTTATTGTAAGTTATTTTCTTTATCAAGGTTATAAAGACAAGTTATTTTCGTCTCGTTTATGGCTCAAATCGAGTTTCCACCAAAACATGATGATAAAGTGTTTTGAGAAAATATTTCTCGCAACTCATCGCAGATAGTCCAAATCAGCCTTTTCTTATCGGGTAGTGTGCCACAAAATGGCATTTAAATCAGCATATTTTGATTCCCCAGGGTTTAGTTCAAAGTCCCTCTGATAAGTAAAAGATTACCGAGGGAAATCTTACAGCAGCTTGGCAACCCTCACAGCCCTCACAGCAATTACTCAGTTTCCATTACCCAACTGTGGTGGTAAGCTAGACAGGAGGCGGGTACAGAAAAGCAAACACATAACTCAACCGCAGAATAAACACTGAAGTATTGAATTTCAGATTCACGTCAAGACAGCGACAACCCGACGAAGAGGTATTCCGGCGGAGCAACTATGGACAACAAGAGCGAGAAGGTTACGGTGAACAAGGAGGAGTTGCGCAAGCGCCTGACCCCGATGCAGTATCAAGTTACCCAGGAGGCAGGAACAGAGCGCCCATTCACAGGTGGGCCATCCCTTAAACTATCAACAACAGAATACACTCCACCTTAGCTTAGATTACTTTTAGAAAATCCTTCTGTCCAATAGTTCACTTCACTAATTTAAATTGATCATGGAGGGGAAGCATTTAAATCTCTAATTAATATCAGATATAACGACTTATTAAGAAAATCAATTCAAAAGACACTTTAAAGTCATTATTATTGGACTAAATCGAATCTAGATGGACAAATTTGATTGTAGAAGTTAAAAATCTTTTCTAAAACCACCTAATGTGAAGCATTTAAAAATCAAATACGCTCCAAAACAACAGTAGAGTACAGGAATTAAAAGTGTTAAGACTGCAACTAAATTATTATGTCTCTGAACTCTGCAGGCTGCTACAATAAGCACTACGAGAAGGGCGTTTACCAGTGCATCGTGTGTCACCAGGATCTGTTCAGCTCGGACACCAAATACGACTCCGGCTGCGGATGGCCGGCCTTCAACGACGTCCTCGACAAGGGCAAGGTCACCCTGCACCGCGATGCCAGCATACCAGGTGCGTACCGCCCATGCGGCACACTTCCAGGCCAGCTAGCCACTTGATGGCCTAGACATTGTTCCGCACTTTTAGCTGTTATTTGCAAACCGTTTTGAGTTCTGTTTTTTATTTGAGTTGCTGTTTCGTTGCCGCACCCAAAAGTTGAGAATGTACTTTGCGTTGCGACTAGGTGACAATTAAGCCCTGTCTGGACTAAACAAAAACATGCATAGTTATCATGTGCAAATAAGAGCGGTCATAAAATTAAACGAGTAGTGTTTAGAAACGTAATCAAATATTTACTACGTTTATAGGTACATACGCCTTAAAAAGTTTGTTACTTTGAGTTAGTGGCCCATTTCTACGGTCTATAGTATGTATTCTTTATAATGATGTAGAACCATTGGTTATCATAAAAAAATAATTATTGGCTTTTATATTAAGTAAGAGTAGATATTTGGGACAAAAACTCAGGCATATAAACGTAGTAAAATTGAACCAAGAAATAGTTAAATACTCATTCCTGATCTGTGCTGTTTTGTGTTGCCTTGTTTGTAATTATGTTTTGGCTTTGTTTGTCTTGACCATAGACTTGAACTCGACTTTAACCTGTTCCATTGACCAGATTTCACTGTAGTTGTGCCGTTGGCCTTGGTTGGCCTTGCTGTTGTTATACTGTTTTACTGTCTAGCCTTGTGGCGTTGAATGTGTCTTGTGAGTGTTCCTGCTGCCGTTGCAGCACCTGAATGTGCAACTGAGCGAGGAGAAGCGACTAAAATTAATTCCTAACCGAGTATTGTGTTCTCTTATCCCCCTCTTCTATCCCGCCTGACTTTCTCAAAATTTCTTTCTCTCAAAAAAAAAAAAAATGAAACCCAAAACATACACAAAAAACTAAAACGAATTTCATTTCGACTCTGTACCCAAAACCCCGAGTATCACTGTTAAACCGATTAAACCAACAGTAGTCATTTCGAAAACGCTAGGCATGGTGCGCACCGAGGTGCGCTGCTCCCGATGCTCCGCCCACATGGGCCACGTCTTCGACGACGGACCGCCGCCCAAGCACCGCCGCTTCTGCATCAACTCCGCGTCCATCGACTTTGTGAAGAGTGCGGCGCCATCGAAGGCGGATCCCCCGACGGCCTCGTCCAAAAAATAACCACCAGGAAGATTACATCCGGAGGAGCCCTATATAGACCTGGACGATATACTATATGTTCCGCGGGGATCCAGAGCAGAAAGATCTCTGCAGCACTTCTCTTGGGGGTCTCTTAAGAGCTTCATGCCTGAAAAAAAAATATTTAGCAATTTTATAGGAGTTTATTATGCCACAGAAAGTTTAACAAAAAACAAAGCTTGTACAACAACGGTGTTTGAAAATGTATTATGGAACGTGAAGTGAGAAATTAGTGTTGTAGATCAGCCCAAGATCCCATTTACTTATTTTTTATTTTACCTTTTAATTTTAAGACTACTCAGTTTCGGTTTCAAACCTCTATATTAACTGTCGGATGGTGGCAAAATGGAGAAATTTTATAAAAGTTTATGCACGTTTTGTAAACGAAATAAGGAATCTATAATTCCTTGCTTTGGCTTGAGCTCTCTTTTTGGTTGACCCTCATCTTTTACTTGATAGAACAACAAACTCTACTTCTTTAGCATTCCCAATCTTAGGAACTATTGTAGGTAAATAACAATTAACATATTTCGTAGGAGCTTACATATTTAATATGAAGTTATGTTTGCGCAAAGCAACAAATGTATTAAGGATCGGTCTAGGCTTTCCTTATTTGGTTTATCTACGTTTTTCCGTTGAATTTCATTTTTCACCCCACTTTTGGTTATAAATCCACAAACAACAAATGGAAAACATAAGAGCTTATTTCATATTCCCATTTCGATTACTATCCAAGGTCGGTTGGTTTTATTTTTGGGCCAGGGCCATTCATGTGTATGTTTGTAAGTGTGAAGAGCTTTTATTTTAAAATATTTCGCATATGTATTTTATTTGCTGGTGTTGTAGTTTGGTTAAGTTTATGATTTTGATTTCATTGCTTCTTACTCATGGTCAATGATTTTTAAATAACATAACTCCAATATTGTAACCAACATTTTATCCATAAACTATATAGAGTGTCTCAAGCAAATCGAATAATGTGTATTTTCGTATATTTTCTATTTCTCTTTTTTTAACTCGCTTCCAAAACCAAACAAAAACAAAAAAAACTAAATGTACGCCTGTAAACGTTATTTGGGGGTTTGTTTTGCTAACAAAAAACACTACTCATTGCTGAAATTGTAACACCCAAAACACGACACATAAAATGCTTAATTAACCAAAATAACATGTACACATAATCACTCGGAAAACTGTCAATTTATCTGATTCGTCATGTTTTTTCACCTAATTTATGTGATTGATATCATTTCATAATTTTCAACTACCGCCGTCCATTATTTTTTATCGCTCTCTCCTGCACCTCCTCATTCGCCTCGTTCTTCGCTCTTCGATGCACCTCCCATTTATTTGCCGTTATTTCTTCGATCTGTCTCTGTTTTTCTCTTCTGTGCTTTTCATTTATCACCCATTATGCAATCAATTTTCTATTTCTGTTGATTTGTTTACAATGAAAACTTTAAATTAACCTTGAAAAACGATCCAAAAAAAATCAAAATATTGTAAAAAAAAAATGTGAAACAAATGCGCTACAAAAAACCACCAAAACGTATCCAATTAATCCCACAAAATGGCAAACTGCAAACTAAATAGGGGGCAATATTTTACTACTAATCGCACATCCAGAACGTATACGCACCGAGGTACGCTGCGCCCGCTGCAACGCCCACATGGGTCACGTCTTCGAGGATGGTCCAAAGCCGACCCGCAAGCGCTACTGCATCAATTCTGCCTCCATTGAGTTCGTGAACGCAGATCCCGCCACCTCCACCCCGCCCGTGGCCACGCCCACCTCGACGCCCATTGCGCAGCAGTGAGGAAACTAGGGCAACCCCCATTGCCATGGCTAACCATCCACGGACAACAGAGAAGCCCAACCGTAGTGTCTCGTTGCTGTTAAGAACTTTTCTACGTGTATCTTTCAAACTTTCCGTGGCCAATTTTAGCTCGTAGTCAGTCAAAACCCCCTTCTAAATTCTACGTGTGCCCCTCTGTTTGTGTAAATAGCTAACGTTTTGTGCCTCTAAAATTGTTTGATATGCATACAAGTCCGAATACTCTGTACCACACTCAACTAATTACTAATTTTAAACTGAGCGCGCTAAATAAACGTGTGTTTTTTACAATATCTATGTTTTTATAACACTCCTTGATGGGTAGAATATAATTGTTTGGAGAATATTTACAGAGCCTCGCGTCTTCTATTCTTGCAAAAGTTTTTAAGCTTACAAAGCATTTACAGCCGTGCTCACACTTATAGTTATGTTGCAATACAAAAGAATAACATATTTGGTTCAAAGAAAACACTAGACAACGTCAAAACTATACTGTGGAGTCCTGTTCAATTTCAGTATGTTGAATTCGAATGTATTAATCGAACATAAAACCTTTTTTGTAAAGTTTTAAATTATTTACTAAATGGTTTCTAATATTGAATACTATTATTTTGAGCACAGCTGTAAATAAAGGCCAGGTGAGAACAGAACAGCTGACCCGCGTTGCCAACCATTCGAGCTGTTTCAGCGAACAGATGCTGCGTCGTAGTTGTTGTTTTCGCGTGACGTAACAGCCGGCAACGCAACAACATGAAACCGAATTTATTTATGGCTCAGAAGTCAATTGATTTTAATTGCCGCTGCCGTATAAGGTGAATAAATGTTAATTTTGCCCAAAGTGATGTGCTGGCGACAAATCGATAACAACGGCTTTATGAAAATTGCCGATCATTCAGTTTTAAGCATTCAACACGTGTGTAGGGTGTATGGAAAATTGGAAAACCGACCCACCTGTGCGTTTTTAAATGCCATTGTTTGTATATAATATGAATTTCGAAAGGTAAACGATAGAGTGACAGACCGTATTATAAATTCGCAATTATCTAACAGTGATTTCTGTGTAAATACATTGCGGGCACTTGGTGGTGATAATTTCGGATCCGCGCAGTGAAGAGATTAGATTGAGCCCACGACGACGACGAGACCATGGCATGAAACACCAGATTGCCCGTGAACCTAGGCAATATATTGAGCTTCACCTGTCCAGAAGCAGAAAGCCGGCTAACGGCATCCGAATCAACCGCTCTACGTCAGATCTAGTGGTGTTACGTGTCGTTACGTTACGCATTACGTCAGTGACCGTTACACAATTGTAATAATGAAGGAGTGGCTAAAGATTTCCTGCCTGCTGTGCGCCTTCGGCTGCATCCGCGAGATCCGTCCGTCGGAGCCCTACGTCACGGAATATCTGCTCGGTCCCTGGCGGAATATCACAGAGGACCAGGTGTGAAGTATAGTGTTGCTAATTAGCCAGTCACAACAATAATAGTTTGTTTTGGTTCCAGCTAACGCATGATGTCTACCCAGTGGGCACCTATTCCTACTTGGTGCAGCTGGTCTTTGTTTTCCTGATCACAGATTTCCTCAGGTAAATACAAAAAAATTATAGTAGTAAAAAGCTTTCATCGTAATTTCAAGCATTAAGTTTACGGGAAAATCATCATAGATTCATTTTAAAATCTTCTTACATTATTTAGATATTTTTTTGTTTTTTTTTTTTTAATTCCTTATCGTGTTAACGACTAAAACTAAAGTGCTTTCTGCAAACATATAAAGCACATAGTTAAAAACTGTTTTAAACATTTAATCTGACTAAAATTAGTTAAGCAAAAAAGTTTGATAATAATTTGACTCTACAAAGTCATAATTTTGACTTTAATATCGCAAAATTTAATTCGAGTCAGCCAAAATAATTTGATACGTGAAAGCAACACCAAAAATTTTAAATCGGAAAATCGAGTGACTTTCTTTCACCTATAACTTGTTATTTGTTTAATAGGTACAAGCCCCTGATCATCATTATTGGTGCCACTGGTGTGATCATATGGAGCATGCTCATCTGGACCACCAGTCTGCTTTCACTGCAGATTTTAGAAGTCTTTTACGGCACATATATGGCCGCAGAGGTGGCCTACTATACGTACATCTATGCCAAAGTGGACAAGAAGTACTATCCCAAGGTAACCTCCCACACCCGAGCGGCTATGTTTGCCGGCAAGCTGCTTTCCGGGATCATATCGCAGCTGATGCTCTATCTGAAGCTGATGAACTACAGAGAGCTCAACTATATAACGCTGGCAAGTAAGAAACTGAATAAGAGCTTGTTGTATTTACAGAAATAAATTGAATTTCATTCGCAGCTCAATTAGTTGCCATGCTTTGGGCGTTTGGCTTACCCCGAGTGGACAAAAGTCTTTACTTCCATCGAGAGCAGTTGCCCATTGCGGATCAGCAGACCCAGTTGCCCGGAGAAGGCCACATGGAGGTGGCGGATCAGCATCAGGAGGGTACTCCCAGGCAGCCACGAGCATTGGGTCTCCTGTGGCTTCACTTTCGCAATGCCTACACCAATCCGCGAGTCATTCAGTGGAGTCTGTGGTACGCCATTGGACTGGCTGGCTATCTACAGGTTACCTACTACATGCAGGTTCTGTGGAAAGTAATTGAGCCGGAGCCTCTGATAGCCTGGAACGGAGCCGTGGACGCTGTTCTGACAGCTCTGGCCGCACTGTGTGCACTCGCCGCCGGTTATCTGCACACTGGTCGCCTCAGACCGCGAACTTCGCTGCTGATCCTGGCCCTTTTGTCCGCCGTCGAGGGCGGCTGTGTGCTGATCTGCTGCTGGACGGAGGACATTTTCTGGTCCTATACGGGCTTTGTGCTCTTCGGTGCCCTATACGGCTTTACTATCACGGTGGCCAGGTAAGCATACTCTAACATCCAGTATTATTTATAATCCTGGCTTCTTTTCAATCTCTGCAGTGCTGAGGTGGCCCGAAATCTGGAAGAGGACAGCTTTGGACTAGTCTTCGGTTTCAATACTTTGGTGGCCCTCGTTTTCCAATCGCTCTTAACCATGATCCTTGTCACGGATACAGGCTTTGAGCTCGACCCCGTTGGTCAGTACACGGTCTATGCTTTTTATTTCATTGCCGTGGGCTTGCTCTATCTGATATCCGTGCTGGTTGAGTGGATCTGGTGCCGCGACAGCGATATCGAGAAGCTGGAGAATTCTTTGGATTGTTTCCAGATGCATTTAGCAAGTACTTAAGGGCACAAATTTGTTACTTAAGAAATGCATGTTCCTATTGATGGAATACCATTAGATGGTTTTCCGCGATGGCTGATTGTATTCCCAGAATACTCAAGTCATCTATTTACCTGCAATCTGTTGCCGAGTTCCAAGTATTTTGTGCAGATTTTCATTAAAAAAACGCACAATCAGCCTCAAGTGGTGCGGAATAAAGATACCGAGTTTTTATAGAATCACTCTGTGTTTCACTAATAGACCTCGACGATTACCGAACTTAATAAGCTTTAATTTATATATAGACAAGATCGATGAGGTACCCTGATAGCTGATAGCGATTTCCAAGTCTAAAAAGTCGATTATATATAAACACCAGGGAGTAAGTGGTAGCAATTATACATACATATGTTTGTTCGCTTCAGTTGGACTTAAGTATTACTTAAGCGATTTTTCTTGAAGCAATTAAACGAGCGGAATTCCCTTTAGATTTATTAATATACCCGGAACAATTTGGGTTCCAATTATAAACAGTCTTTTGCTGATTATAAACTTATCAGCGTTGATGTTAATCATTTCACTAATATTAATTAACAGACTGGCTCTTTTAGATTGACTGAGAATTTTAAAGCAACGTTAATGGGCTAATTAGTTAATAATTGATATGGCCAACTTGGAGTGGGAACCACACCGGTCGCGGGCAACTCAATCAAGATCGTGATCATGCTCGGTGTAAGCGGAAACTTCCCGTTCAACCACCCTTTGCTCCGCTTCCCAGCACAAAATCGTAAATCGCGAATGGGTCGGCGCTGATTACAAGCGTCGAAGGTAAGGTAAGTAAATCTCTATACTCGGAGCTAGCCTGCTCACCCCTCGGAAGAATGTGCAATTATTGTAATAGCTGGTCGAAGCTTCACCCTGCCAGACATATAGCAAGTCATTCGCGGGCTAGCGTAAATATTGCGATTAGACCGAAGTCGACAATCGTGGCGGGATGGAGTCTTGGCTGAAGATATCGTGGCTGCTCTGCATATTCGGGTTCCTGCGGGAACTCCGCCCCTCGGAGCCCTACCATGCGGAGATCCTGATGGGCGAGTGGTACCACGTCACCCAGGACGAGGTCAACCGATCCGTCTATCCGGTGGGCTCCTACGCCTACCTGTCGCTCCTAATCTTCGTCTTCCTCATAACGGACTTACTCAGGTATATGTGTATGCCATGTAATAACCTAAATGCAATCTTTATTGGCTGCCATAGCCCTGGATTTGTTGGTCCGTTGCAGATACAAACCCGTGATCATCGCAAATGCCATAACGGGCATCTGCATCTGGGGCACACTCATTTGGACGAGCACTTTGGGTGGCCTGCAGGCAGTGGAGGTGTTCTATGGCTTCTACCAGGCGGCCGAGGTGGCCTACTACTCATACATCTACGCCAAGGTGGACAAGCAGTACTATCCCAGGGTGACCTCGCACACCCGGGCGGCCATGTTCGTGGGCAAACTGGTGGCCGGACTCCTGGCGCAGCTGGTCATCGGCATGCAGTGGATGAACTACAAGCAACTGTTCTACATTTCCGTGAGCTGTAGGTTCCCTGCGAGCAATCTAAAAGAGATAACCCAGTCTGATTGCTATTTAATCAACTATTTAAACAGCTCAAGTTGCGGCACTACTTTGGGCCTTTGGCCTGCCCAAAGTGGAAAAGAGTTTGTACTTCCACAACCAAACCGAAGTCACAAAGGCGGATAGTGGAGCCCAGGAGAAGGGATCAGATCAGGGAAAGCCAGAGGAAATGGAGTCGAAGACATCGTCCAGTCCCAGTGAGAAGTTACCAGCCTGGCAGCTCATCTGGTCACATTTCCGTAGTGCCTATACCAATGGCCTGGTGATCCAATGGAGTTTATGGTATGCCGTTAGCCTGGCTGGATTTCTGCAGATTACCACCTACATGCAGGTGGTGTGGAAGTCTTTCGAGAATGAGCCAACAGTTAGTAAATCATAAACCACCAAAGAGTAAATAGTTAACGCGTCAGTCCTGAACAGATTGCTTGGAATGGAGCTGTGGACGTTGCTCTGACCCTTCTGAGTGCTGTCTTCGCCCTCCTCGCCGGTTACTTCCATGCCGGACGTTTGAGCACCAGGAGCAGCCTGCTCTCGATGGCTCTTCTGTCGATCCTCGAGGGCGGTTGTGTGCTCCTTTCCTGCTGGACCGCCAACATATACCTTTCCTACCTGGGCTATGTGCTCTACGGCGGGTTATTCGCTTTTACCATAACGGTGGCCAGGTAAATTCATTTATTAATTATTCCAATATGTATTAACAACTCTGCTCTTGTAGTTCGGAGTTGGCCAGCAGCTTATTGGAGGACAGCTTCGCTCTGGTGTTCGGTTTCAACACTTTTGTAGGCCTCATCCTGCAATGCATCCTCACATTCGCTGTCGTCTCAGAGAAAGCGAATCTAAATCTTGATGTTTTCCAGCAGTTCACAGTCTACGCATTTTATTTCATAGTTATTGGAGTAGTATATTCTATAGCCGTTGTGCTGCAATATTTATGGTCATGCTCGAGGAGATCAAAGTCGATTCAAGTTAACTAAACAGTTACTGAACTTTATAAGACAGTTTGAAAAAAGATTAGATATTTGTTTGTTATTATTGGTTGAAAATGTAGAATTTAGTAGTTTTTCTTAAATAAAATACATCACAATTAATCGAGCCTTTTTTATTATGTTTATAAGGAAAAGGAAATAAGGAAATATTTTTAATTACAATAACTTTATTTAATAGTTTCCTTTGTCAAAAGTAAAAAGGTTTTACAATTTGTCGAAAAACTATTAATTACTAGAGTATGAAAACCAATCAGAGTGTACCATGTACATATTATGGCCACCAAAAACTTAATAAAGTAATCAAATATGATTTAAAATAAGAATATATGCATGTACATTTTTAATCCAACCTTTGGAATTCGGAATACAATTTAGATCTATAGCTGGGCTAGCAGAACTCGGTTTGATCCCCGCCAGAGCGGAGGACCGCCGAGACCCGCCACGTCATCGACTCGTAGAGCATCTCGATCTTGTCCACCATGTCCTGGTCGCAGTGCCAAACGTCGTACAGCACAGCACGGAACTCGCCGACATTGTTGGGGGCCTGGTTCTGGATCCTGGGCTGGATGATGGCCATCAGTTGCTCGAGGAGATTGAGGTCACTGCACACGCTGCCGCTGCCCTCGGGTCCCATTAAGGTGTCCAGGAAGATCTCCTTGGGCGGCGATGATTCGTCCACGAACTTAAGATCGTCCATGTTGAAGATGTTGCGCCAGTCGCGCACCGTCCAATCCTGATGGGCTTTGGCCCAGGCCAATCTCTTCCGTTTGGCTTCCTCGCTGAGGCCATGGCTGCTGGATTTCTTGGGGGACGGAGAGCAAGTCTGTGGCTGGTTGTTCTTGGAGCGAATCTCGCTGATCCTGCGCTGTAGGGTCCTGCGGCTCACCTCGATGCCGTGCCGGGCCAGTTCCCGCTGGACATCGATGGAGGTGAAGTGGGGATGGTCGGCAAGCATCCGCTCGACGAGTTGCCGGTTTTCCAGGACCTTGGGTCGGCCCACCTCGCGCCTCTTCTCCTCCTCCTGGGCGCTAACTGGCGTGGCAGCTGCCTTTGGCCTCTGCGGCAATCTCAATGTGGCCGTCTTGCCCTCGAGCAGCTCACACTCCCGGATGCAGCTCACCACACTCTCCACGTCGCACTCCAGGATCTGGGCTATCTCCTCGCAGCTATTCGAACCCTTGAGCGCCTTCACAATACTCCGAACCTCTGGAGCCAGTACCATTTTGGATAACCTTTTCGCTCTACACTCTTCGCTCTTCAAGTTTCGCGATGCGAATGCTGGCCCCTGTTTTGTTTACTCGTTATTTGTATGATAACATGAATATTCTGACAAACGTAAACTATAATTGCAGGTATAGGTGAATTTGGCGTTGGCGTACTTTATGGCGAGCAAGCTGGATTACTGCGTCGTTGCATTTCAGGTAAATAGCGTCACACGGCGTCCCTTTTTTTACCCTTGGCGGCCTTTCCGTTATTTGTACTCGGCAGGGATGGCAACCCTTATGAAGCAGCTGTTTTAAGGGAGGAATGTTTAAATCTCGGCGTCAGCTGTGAAATACCAACAAGCGAATCAAACAACTTTGTTATCATTCGAAAAATCTATTGTAGCGGTAAATAGTTGTTCCTTATATTAACGCCTAATTGAAAATCTCATAAACTTAAATTTTGCAGCTAAAAAAACACTAAATTTCCTGCACTGGATTAACTTAAATCGTTATATTTTAAACTCCACTTTAACTATTATTTTGAAATTTGAAATGTAAAGGTTTGTTAAAATTACGTTGATAAAAATTCTCATATTTGTGATAACCCAAAACTTGTTTGAAGAAAAATTACGGGCTTATTTTAAACCAAACTCAATTTAAATAATCATTTCACATTTAACGGTATCCAGCGAAAAATAATTTTAAAACTGCCAAGACAATAATTTCAATTTCATGGAAATAAGCTACCCAAGAACGTTCTCTTGTTTTATCTGAAATAAAAACCATTCATTTTTACAGCCAATTACCAAGACACTTGTAATTAAGTACGGTTGCTTTGTTTTTAACATGCAATTTAATATTTGATTTTCTTTGATGCTTTGTAGAATTACAAAAATAAATATAAAAAACTTGTACAATATGTAAGTGTTAGTTACCTCTACAGTAGGAAATGCAGTACACCTTTTGTTGAACTGTTAAAAATATATATATGCCAGATGTGTTTTTGCTTGTCTTTTATGCTGTTTGTTTTTTGTTTTACTCTGATCGCTTTCATGAGCGAGAGCGATTTGTAAATCTATAATTCCACTAAACATATATGTATACTTGAGAGGTGCACAATGATTTGAAATTGCAGATACCATAAAGATCAAATTTTGAGTACGCTTAAGCTCGCTAGAGTGGCTCAGCCTTCGAGGCGGCTGATTGAACAGATAGATATTAAAGCACATAATCGGGGGAAAGGCAACCGAATAGCCACTTATACTATGTGGCGATGGGGACCGCAGCAGAGTGATCGGAATTGTATAATTAAATAAATAACGCTAAAGTACGCCTAATTGGTTTAGATCCATGTGCTAGGTTTTGATTTGTGTGTGTCTGTTTTCGTTTCTCCATCGCTTTTTAGTGTTTGTGTGGGAGTGTGGAACTGGAGCTGGAGCTGGAGCTGGAGCTGGGGGAATCGAGAGTGTGGGACGGGCTGCCCGCAGTTAGTCATCCAGATCGATATCGGAGTCATCCGAGTCGTAGCCGCCGCGTATTGTCTTGTGTGGGCGGTTGATGAATGGTTTACGCTTCACATCTGGTGGCTGCATCAGATCGCCCTTGTAATCGATGGCCCCCGAGTGGGCGATGCGCCACTCCAGCATCTCCGTGGCAAAGTCGTCGCAGTTGCCCAGATCGGTGAATCCCACAATAAAGTCCTTGGTCTTACTGTCCTTCACCAGAGCAATGGTGGGTATCACCTTGATGCGCAGCCGCTGGGTGAGGAAGGGAGTCTTCTCGGCGTTGACCTTGCAGAACTTGGCCTCCACGTGTTTGGCGGCCAGGATCTTCAGGTGCATGTCCACGATCTTGCAGCGCTCGGTGCTGTCCCGATAGAAGTGACACACAATGTTTGGCGACTTTTTCGACATCTCAAAGAACTCTTTTTCGTCAGCTAGCTCGGTGTAGGTGCCGTGACCCTATAATGTAGATATTAAAACCATTAGTTAGAGTTAAATAGACAGGGAAGAATGTAATATTTAGTATAACTTTCAAAACTATGAGACTTTTTATATTTTAGCTAACTTGTGAACTTTTTACCCTGACTTTAAAATTTAAGACTTTGGGTTCAGTAATTGAAGCCAGTTGAGAGATTTTAAATAATATATTATTATTACTAGTTGTTTACCTTTTTTCTTCATTTTAGTCATTAAACTTCGCATATTTACGGGAAATCAAGGGCTCCAAAATATATATAAAAATTATTGCTAGCGAAGTACAAAATTGCAAAATATCGGAGGCTCGTTGGAACCGTTTGTAAAATACCATTAAGATCAAAATGTAGGAGTCTTATTGGTATTTATGGAGAAAATGATAATCACATTAATTCTTTGGTTTGGTTTAGGTTAATATATAAAACAAAAATGGGAAGTGCATACGCAGAATGCACTAAACGTCGTTTACACAATAAAATGGTCCATAACGCTTTGTAGATCGTAGGACCTGCCTATGAGAAAACCCCGGACAGAACCACCTACGTTTCTCAGCCACTCCTGCTTCTTGTTGTTCAGGTCCTTCATCTCGCGGAGGCGCTGCTCCCTAAGGGCCTTCAGATCGTCGGAGTCTAGGTTGTCCAGGCGGTCAAGCTGCTGGTCCAGCTGTTGCTCAATGGTCTTGGCCGCCGTGAACAGTTGGTTCTCCAGAAGATGTGCCATGATGTCGAGTTGTCCAGTTGCTGCTCCTCTTGGTTTCTCAGTATTTCCGTTTGTTCGCCCTCTGCGTGTGGTGCGTTTGTGTTGGCGTCGACGGTCGGTGAGAGTGTGTATGTGCGTGTGGTTCCGGCACAAATGGAAAGGCGTAGCCATGGAGCCGCCGCAGATGCGTCATGTTTTGGGGAAAATTCAGTTAAGTAAGCATTGTTGTGGCGAATTTGGGCCGTGTAGTGGCAAAGGCGGCCACAAATCGATTATTCAGAGGGTACTCACGCTTATTTTCCAGTTATTTCATTGATTTTACTGCTTTAAAGTTTATTTAGACGTCGGAATCGGTGTGACCTCGGCCTTTACATTAAAAAATACCAAGCTTCCACGTTAAATTAACATTTGGGAATACCATAAATGTACCAATAACATAACGCGTGAATAGCTGCGACAATATTCTACAAAGCTTTTTTGAATGTATTTATTTAAAATTGTTTGCCTTTTTATTTTTTTAATATTAGCTGCAGAAAGAGGTAACTAAGGTTAAAGGTAGTTTTTTCCATAATTTGTTAAAGTTAAAAAGCAAGCATTAATAAAACTCTAAGGACTTTCCGCCAAAGTTGTACTTATTTACGAAAACAATAATAGTTGGAACATTTTTTTCTAAGGAACCTGTCGATGATATGAATCGCAACGCACTGCAAAAAAAATTGCGATTGGTCGCCATCGCCATACTTAAATTAAAATTGATTCTTCGCCATTATATTTTGATTACGACCACCGATAATTTTGAAGAAGCGGTGCGGTGGAAACGCTCGCATATGTTGTGGCTAGTCTAAATACCTCGGTGAATTTAAGTATATCTTTTTGTGTCCAACGGTATATTTTCACGAAACAGCCAAGGTCACACTGAAGCGTTGCTTTTAATTTGTTTGTGTCGGCGTCGGTTGGATTGGAATCAAGCTATTTGTCTTAAAGTAATTGCTACTTAAATAACTGTTGTGTTGCCAAAATTAAAAAACAAACGAGGTGGGTGAGACTAAGTAATATTTTTTGTACTAAAATCTTGAAATGTGTGACGTTTGCAAGAAATAACCGAGCATCCTTTTTGTTGCGGTAGGATTGTGCGCTTGGTGTACATACATACATTTTTTCGCGGACACAGGAAATGAATTTCTGAATTGCGAAAAGTATGACAAAATAGAAGTAGCGGCTATTGACACCTGCTTTAGTCCCGAAAAGTGTCTATTTTAAAGCCCTGGCACATGAGTTTATTAGTTTTTCTTTCTCAAATGCATTATCGCCAATTGCGACTGTCGCGCCGCCATTTTAAAAAACGAACGCGGTATCTGAGCCTCCGACAATTGCCTAGTACAGTGGTGGCAAAGCGTAGAGGTCTACGTTGACAATGAAACTGTGAAAAAAAAAGATAATTTTGTTATTGCAACTAGCACGAAAAAAGATTTTGTTGTCATTGAAAATATGTTTTCTTGAATATTTTTTTATATGAAACATCCCTTTAGTTTCGTTGTTTTTAAACTCTGCCCAATATTTTGGCGCGCACTGTAAGCCGCCTTTTTTTTTTTGTTACCTACACAGACAGACTGCAGAGCACATGTGTGTGTGTGTGTGTTTCTGATTTTTTATTCCTTGGTATGTTTATGTTTGTCTGCTGATCCGATCACAACTCGTTGAAATTGATTAACTTGACTTGGAGCAGAACCTCCATTAACCACTCGACCATATAAACAGGCATTTATGCTCGTCTTGCCGCCGAGTTTAATCAACTCCGCGAAATGAGTACCAAAACAAACGGCGAAAGAGGCATTACAATAATGATTCCCCATCAAAGAGGGCTTGGCTAAAAATACATGCACATATGCCAACGCACACTTATGTACATATCATATCTGCAGTCTGTCGCTGCAATTGTGTTCATTATATTTTATTTTTCGCAGCATCGTTCGTTGTCCGCGATTTTCAGCATTCGCATTTCCACTTTCTAAAAAGAAAACCCAATACCGCGCTGCTCGTTGCAGTTTCTTTCTAAACGCCGTCCCCTACCTTTCCCATCACTTCTGCTAAATAAATACACCTGGGGTGCAACTAGTTTTTATACCCTTACTTAGGTTGTATCCATTTATTTATTAATGCAAAAATTAATTTTTTTGGTTATTTTATTAACTTATTTTTATCAATTAAAAACATACCCTGGTTTTGAGACCAGTAAATCATTGTGTGAACCCATACTTTTCAAAATCATATCTACCTATAGTTTAATACATTTTGATCGAAAAAATAGTTAATTCCACCAACAAAAACTATATAGACAAATAATATTTAAGTTGACTTCTTAGAGTATTTAAACTTCGTTTTATTTCCATTTTCGTTTTCGCATTTATCTGGCATCGAACTGTCTGTGCAGTGTAGGTCGGCCTTTGACAAGAAATTTTCCCTCTCCTTGCATTTTTGTTTTTGTACTGTTTCTTTATTTGTGCCTTTCTTACCATTTAGAATTCTTTCAAGAAAATCGAAAAAAAAGGGGAAAAGTGGTTTGTTTGCTTCTAGCTTTGCGTGTTGAACCTTATTTGTAAAGTTAGTGTCTCACTTTGTTTCGAATACATTTAATAGAACGGAAGCCAGTTTAAAATATTGGGGGAGCGAATCACTCAGGCAGAACCAAAAATATAGTAAGTACGGAGGGAAACGCAAATACCCACCCCGAAATTAAAAAGAAGACATTTTTAAAGCGTTTTTTCCTGAATTTAGACATTTCGAAGTAAAATTAGCATATGTCGTCGGGTAATTCCTCCTCTCTGGTAATTAGCACATCCTAATCTCTATGCGCATTTATGATGGACAATAAATTGCAGCTGTCGCCACAGGTAGGTTGTCCATTTCTGCTCAGCTGGTTAATATTCCGATTACCTGCACTCGTCCTGGTCCTTCAGTTCGCTACTTAACACAGCGCGGTCTAAAAATCCGTTTAAGTTAAGCTTCAGACACGCAACCAAGAGGACGTGTTAGCGAATCCGAAAATATTAAACGCCAAGCGTCTCTCAGATTTAGAATCCTATCATAGTGGAACAACTCTGAGACCTACTGTGATTAAAAAATTCTCATGTTGAACAGCAAAACTGTGGTAAGTGGATGGTGGTATTGATTTCGAAGCCGGTCCTCGAGAGGAATGTGGTGTAAACAAACCGCAAGTCAATCGGTTTTTCATTTTCATTTCCACTGCACTTGAATTGTAAGCAGTCCGTAATCATTTAATAAATCATTCCTTTTGTTTGTGTCCCTTGCAGACATCGTGCAACACGTCAAAGGAAACCCAACCAATGTTAAGCAAAATGGCTAGCAACTCAAGTGGCGCAGGTGGAGGTGGCTCCGGCGGCAGTGGACGTCGTATACCGCTTTCGCTGAGTGGTGGAACCACCGTGTCCCGCCTGCAGCAGTCGTCGGGCAGTAACGGCCGCTCGATTAGCCCCCAGAATGGCAACAAAAAAATTACAGAATCCTTCAAAGCGTTGAAAAAGCCAACCCAGCAACGATCCTCGTCTACCAGCTCCTCTTCGTCCAGCGGATCCAACCAAAATGGCGTCAACAAGCCCAGCAATGGCAAGGAGAAGTCCCAGAACGGAAACTCTAAGGATCAAAAGGATCAAAAATCTAAAGATAATGTGCCGGAAAAGAAGGAGCAGGTGGACAGCGAGAATAAGGAGGCTGTAGCCGAAAAAATGGATACGGAGCTTGAAGCCGACCAGAAGGTAAAGGATGAGTTAGATGAAAGGAATGATAAGGAGTTGGTGGTCGAGACGAGCGATAAAGATGTGGCCCCAAGTTCCGACAAGATGGAAAACCAAGAGGCCAAAAAGGAAGCTACCGCTGAAGTTACCACAACCGCTTCTCAACCAGCTCTGGACACGGTGGACCTCGAAGATGTTGTAGAGGTCATTCCAGAACTTAGCACTCCTTCAAAGGATCGCAGGTCTACACGCAAGGCAGGCAGCCAACAAAAGTCGCCCGTCAGCAAGCTGAGCCCCGCTTCGCCATCCCAGAAGAAGGAAACTGAAATAGATGCTGTCTCTTTGACTCCACAGGAAGATGCGGACATGGAACCGCTTCAAATGGACGCCTCGCCCATACGCACCGTTATTGGCAATCTGAATGCTCTGCCGACGGCCACATCTACACCAGGACGCAATCTCTTCGGTTTCCGCAGCAGCAGCAAGCAGATCAATGACGTGGGGCTGGCTGCCCAGCCCTCTAGCTCGCCGGCAGGAACTCCGGCCCGCACTTTCGCCCAGATCAGCGGCAGGCGAAGCATACGAGCCATCGACTCGCTGACTCCCTCGAAAGTGGGCACGTACAGGTGCGGCAACAGTGATCTGGACACCTCAAACTGCACGAACGCCAGCATGAATGCCACCGTGGGATCGGAGATTCCCAATAGCTCGTCCTTTTCGTTCTCGTTCTTTGGCCGTGGCCGCAAGCGCGAGCGCACTCCCCCGCCACTAACGGCATCACAGTCGACCAGTGAGCTGGGTCAAGATGTGGAAATGTCGCCGCCAAAGCGTGCCCGCTTTGACTTGTTCAGCTTGAACCTGGCCTCGCCCTTCAGTCTGCTGCGATCAAGATTCTCAAAGACAACAATCAGTTCTCCAACCCGTCTGTGTCTGGAGCCGAACGTTTCCGGCGTGGAGGAGCATCAAGTACACACATGTTCAAACAGCTTGCCAGAAGAGGTTGAGGGCGAGGAGGAGCAGGCAAGCAAGAATGTGACCGTGGGCCAGGAGGCCGGTCTGGAGACGCCAAAGAAGGCGGGCTCGCCCCATAAGGAAATCCCCGCCGAGAAGGAGGTCGAGGGTCAGGACGCCGATGGCCAGGATGTCGATGAGAAGTCCAGTGACGGAGAAAACATTCCTCCCGTTGTGGAGGTTGCCGATGTGGCTGGAGCTGAGGCCCGCTCCCGCTGCTCAATTATGTAATACGGCCCAACAGACCCTTCCCCTAGTTAATAAGTCTATGTCTTAGCATATCCGTTTTGCTCCTTTTTGGTAATTTGTGTTCAGACGTAAAGTTACATGTTAAGAGAGAGCTTCCGCCAGATACTTTGATAGCCAGTCCTGGACAGGTATTTTCTCATCGAAGGAAATTTACGCCAGGTTTGAGTTTTAACCAATCTTGAAAGGATTCCTTGCTGGTTGGCTGCTCTCTCAGAATTTTCAAGTCCCAGCCAATCACCGACGAATCGTATAATCGGTACCCAGGTAAAGTGGGTACCGAAACCGGGAAAAAACCAATATATGTAGCCGTATTTGTATAAGAAACATAAAAAAGTTTTATATGCATACACATATTTGTGAAAGTTTCGTCTTTCCGCCAACAAAATACTTCCTTTTACACATTCAACAGAAGGAACAAAGTTTTTGATTTGTAAAAATTAACACATGTAATACATAAATAAAGTATATTAAAAACAAAGTGGTTTACCTAAATACTTGTATATATTCTTGGGTGTTTATAAAACCTTAATTTTTTCGAGAAGTTATATAACAAATTAAATCGTTAATTATAAAAAACTTCACTTTTTTAATATATTTTTAAATGGTTTTTAGAAATATCATTTATTGACATTACTATATACGATTATCTAAAGGCCGTGCTAAAAATTAATTTTAAACTGAGTTTATGGTATTAGTTCTTGATAAAAATAAATTTTAAAATTATTTAATACATTAACTGGTTAGCTAAGAATAATTTTTTGGAAACTAACATAATAATAATCAATTTTAAAATGGTCTATGTTTGTCGAAAATAATAAATAATGTACATTTTACACATGCTGGGAACTAAAATGAAAAAGGGAATTCTGTGGCAGCCAATGTTGTAAAGCGTCGCAGAGTGGCGCCACTTTCTGTTTAGTATTTTCCGTATTAAGCGGCGCTCCCGCCTCTGGTCACACCGGCAAAGTTGTTCGCAGCAAAAAAAAGAGAGAGATTTCTCGGATTAGATGAGATACGAACGAAAATTATTAGTCAAGTGCCCCCACAGAGAAGCAGCGCCACCAAATAGCCCATAGAGAAGTCCACTTCGGTCGGGTCCACTCCACGCCAGTCGAGAGCCAGTGGAGCAGCCAGGGAATCTGGGAAATAGAGCAGCAGCAGGAGGAGGAGGAGGAATTGAAGAGCCACGAAGTGGGAAGTGGGTAGAAGCAGCCAGGTAATCAGCAGCCAACATGTCCTGGACGGAGAAAGTGGACCCCGAGCTGATCTTCACCAAGCAGGAGCGCATCGGCAAGGGCTCCTTCGGTGAGGTGTTCAAGGGCATCGACAACCGCACCCAGCAGGTGGTGGCCATCAAGATCATCGACCTGGAGGAGGCCGAGGACGAGATCGACGACATCCAGCAGGAGATCATGGTGCTGTCGCAGTGCGACTCACCGTACGTGACCAAGTACTATGGCAGCTTCCTCAAGGGCACCAAGCTGTGGATCATCATGGAGTATCTGGGCGGCGGATCCGCCCTGGATCTGATGAAGGCCGGCTCCTTTGAGGAGATGCACATCGGGATCATTCTGCGCGAGGTGCTCAAGGGCCTGGACTACCTGCACTCGGAGCGCAAGCTGCATCGGGACATAAAGGCGGCCAATGTGCTGCTCAGCGAGCAGGGCGACGTCAAGCTGGCGGACTTTGGAGTCGCCGGCCAGTTGACCAACACCACCTCCAAGAGGAACACGTTCGTGGGCACGCCCTTCTGGATGGCGCCCGAGGTGATCAAGCAGTCGCAGTACGACGCCAAGGCAGACATCTGGTCGCTGGGCATCACGGCCATAGAGCTGGCCAAGGGCGAGCCGCCCAACTCGGAGCTGCATCCGATGCGCGTGCTCTTCCTCATCCCGAAGAACAATCCGCCGCAGCTGACGGGCAACTACACCAAGTCGTTCAAGGACTTTGTAGAGGCCTGCCTGAACAAGGACCCGGAGAACAGGCCCACGGCCAAGGAGCTGCTCAAGTACCCGTTCATCAAGAAGGCCAAGAAGAACGCCTACCTGATCGACCTGATCGATCGCTTCAAGAAGTGGAAGCTCTCCAAGGGCGACGAGAGTGAGACAGAGTCGGAGAACTCCGACTCGGACTCCGATGCCAAGCAGGGCGGCAGCAGCCAGGACGAGCCCTGGATCATGACCGTCAAGGGGCTGCACATCAACAGTGCTCCGCGGGCGGGCGTCAACAGTTTCCAGCTGCAGGAGCACGAGCTCACCATGCAGAAGCTGATGCAGACTACACACTCTCCCGCCGGCGGTGGCGGTAGCGGTGGTGGTGGTGGTGGTCAGGCCCCTCAAGTCGCATCCGTATCAGCTTCGTCTGTTTCCGCCGTGGCGGCGTCAGCTTCCTCCGTATCCGTCATCACAGCCAACGAGGCTGTCTCATCCACATCCACATCCGCCCTGCCCCCCCAGAATAGCCACGTCCACAACAACATCAATAACAACAATAACATCAGCAACTTGAGCAACAAGCACGCCACCACGACCATGCTGAATGCAACTCCGTCGCCGAGCAGCGTCACCAGCTCCTCGTCGGCCAATGAACTGCAGCAGAAGCGTTCCAGCTCCAAGCCGGAGCTGCGCCAGTCGCGCTCCGCCGCCCCCCTGGATCAGGTGGAGGATCGCCGCGCCTCCTTGGGCCTGCCCCTGCAGGCCACAGTTTCGACTACATCGTTGGCTGAGCAGCAGCAGCGTCGCAGCAGCCAGCGTGAATCATTCCATGCAACCAACGCCGCCCTGGCCGCCAGCAGCAGCAGCATTAGCAACAACCACAGCCACGAGGAGCATGTGGCCACCAACCATGTGGCAAGCCATGTCAAGCACTCTGCGGCGGGACAACGCCTAGTCCAAACGAACAGCGCCTGTCTGAACAACTTCCTATTCCCCGTGCTGAGCGACATCCAGCGAAAGTACTCCGGCGGAGGATCTGGTGGCGGAGGAGGATCTGGTGGCGGCGGACGCAACCTGGGCGTGGGCAGCGACATTGGCGACCTGAAGTCCGTGTTCGAGCTGGCCGAGCGCTCCAGTCCCGGCGTGAGTGACCTGTTTATGAAGGAGCTGATCCACATGCTCGTTCCGGGCTATTCGGAGACGCGCATCAATACGATCATGGACCGCGCCATACGTAACCGCAAGTAGCTGACGAAGACGTAGCCAATTCCGATTCCAAGCAACCTACTTTACTATATACACACAACAATATTAACGAGAACGAGACAAAACAAACTGAAACGCTGGAGCGAAACAGATTCCGACATTTAGTGGCCAACGGAGGAGCGGGAGCGATGTACATGTATTTCAATTGAACAGTTATTTAAGCATACAATATGTATTCGTTTGTTTATCTGCAATATTAATCTAATGTAAAACATATATAACTTCAGAATAAAAACCCCACAAAAATCAGCATTTGAATTTGGCGCGCATGTGGGAATGTGGCAGCACAGGCGATGTAGTGACTCGATGTGGCCACGTTGGTTCCTTTAGGAGATATGTTTACATTTGAAAAGCCTAGAAGCTTTATAAAAATATTTCGAAAAAGGTAAACCTAATTTTGAAGTCTTAAAAGTTGAACAAAAACTACAAAAAAAAATTTATAATTTGTAAATTAATCACCTTTCAAGATTGTTAGATAAATTGTCCCTTCATCCGATGCTATGTACTGTACGTCTGCAAATATTGATTTAATAACCAAATTTTTTAAAACCTGAACAAGTAATTATAGCTTTTAAACAGGTGTATCTTCCGAGAGCTATCTGTATATTGGCTTAGCCTCAAAAAATATTACAATTTTGAAATAATATTCCGTTACAAAAAAAACTTGTTAAAATTACCACCGTTGCCATTTGGTATTTTTTGGCGCTCTAACCACGGTCACACTGGTGACAACATTCCAGCCATTTTGTTTCGTTTTCCCACTATTGTATAGTTTTCCACTGTATTTGACTACATTTTTGAAAAGCCAATGAGCCTCCAGACATGTCGCAGGCACTGGTGAACGAGGAAACGCTGGAGGCGATGGCCTACGAGCGGTCCATGGTCTGGTCCAGTGTGTTGAAGGTGAGTTCTCGGCCCTTTCCAAGTGGCGTCCTTTTCTCATTGCTGTGTTTTTTGCAGGATTTTTCGAACATGGGTGACGGAATGGAGTTGGATGTGGCGCAGTTCGATGACCTGTTCCAGGACGAGGACGACGACAACCCCGACCTGCAGGACGAGGAGGAGGCCGCGGAGGACAATGTGCCGGACGCGAAACTGGAGCTGGGCCACATCAACACCACCACCGCCAGCGTTGCAGAACTGACCCTCCTTCTGTGCGCGGGCAAGGACGACGAGACCAAGGCCGAGATAGAGGAGTTCCTCAACCAGACGGTGCCCGTCGTCGAGGGGCACAAACGCAAGTGGCGTGAGGCGGGGCTGGACCGCATCCTGGACACCTTCGATGAGAAGCAGATCGAGCACCATGTGGGCAGCTGGATGCGGCGCCACAACAACGTTTATCTGGAGGCCACTTCGCCCAAATACCTCCACTCGGAGGCCCACTCAATTTCGGACCAGAGCGACGAGTCGTTGCACTCCATTGACACCGCCCGCTACATCCAACAAAGTCGCCGGCGCAAGGCCCACCTGACCAGCAAAAACTCCAACATGACCACAATTAAGATGTACCGCAAGAACCCGCACAAACGGGACGAGTTGAGGGCCAAGTACGCCTACGATGACGAGCAGGAACACCACCACCACATGCAGGCACTGCTGCACCGTCGGCAAGAGAAAGAGCGCAAGCTGGCCTACCTGGCCGCCACGCCGATGCACTGCATCCACTCTAGCAGTCCTCATGTGAGGCGCAAGCATCTGCGAAAGCGACGCGCCAACTCCTGGCTCTGTGACTCGTCGCTCAGCAGTGAGGAAGGTCCATCGCTCAACGGCTGCGACTGCCAAACATGCCGGAGACATCACGCCCTATCCAGGAGTGCCTACCAATACTGCCCCTACAGCAGGAGTCAACGTGAGTATCACCACCGCCAAGCGGCCTCCCGGACCATGCACACCGCGCTTCGCCATCACACCTTCGACATGGACATGGACATGGACCTGCGCCCACGGCTGCCGGAAAACGAGTGCAGCTGCTGCAACAGCGAACGCCTCTGCTCCAATGTGGTGCACATTGCCAACAGTTCCACCGAGGAGTGGGTGGTGGAGAACCGCAGCAGCCCTGAGCTCCTGGAGGCGCAGGTTAAGGCCCGAAAGCACAAGCAGCAGGTGGCTCCGCAATCCACCCGATCCAAGGGCCACGAGCAGAGAGTATCGAAAATTAAAGCTGCATCCGCCTCAAAATTGGTTAGATCTAAAGCTAACTGCATGCCGAATTTCGATAGTGACACTTCCGATGACGAAAGGGACTTGAAAAATTGGCGTTTGTTAAACTTTTCGGAGCGGATTAAAGGGAAATTAATTACAACTCCGAAGACGTCGGGAAGAAGCACAAAATACATAGCTTTTAGCGAGAAGAAGGTTTCCAAGAAGGCTTATCCAGTGACATCCAAGTGTTTGCCACAAATCAAAGAAGAAAAGTCTACTTCATCAGAAGACATAATAAGGGTACATTCGTCTGGAGAGAGCGAAGGTCAGTCCATTCCGAAATTAACTCATTCACATGCCAAATGCGAGTCTTCCGATGAAAGCGATGTTGAGATTAAGGGAAGGAAACGCTTAGTAAGTTTCTCCGTGGCAAATGCCAAACCGATCAGGGCGTCTACACCAGCAGCAAAACAGGTCATCATGGCGCCTTTCTTAAATTTGCCTCAAATCAGTGGACATGAGGCCTTGATCAGTACAAAAGTAAGTCATGCACAGATCGAAGGCGAATATTCTGAAAAAAAACAAGCCAATCCAGAAATCTCCATTAAGTCGTCTGCACCATTGGTAACTTCAGCAAAGAAATGCAATCCAAAGGCTATTACAGCAGATCCGTCGAGTTTCCCACAAGTTGAAGAGAAAGCTGTGCCACTGCCAGGATCTGGCCAGAAAAAAACCAAGAAGACCATTACAACTCTCTTGGTCAAAGAAAATAAAAAAGACAAAGAATCGAACATTCCGAAGAAAATTCATGCACGTATTGAGAGCAAAACTTCCGCTGAATGCGGCGAGGAAGTGTTAGAGCGAAAACGAAGTGTTAAGTCGAAATGTACTGCTGCTAGGAAGGCTTCCAAACAGACAACGAATCCGGATGAAAACCCCACCATACTTCAAGTTCCCAAAGAATTGACAAATTTCGATATCCTGGAAATAAACAACTCTAGCTCATCAACCTCGCATGAAATATTGAATAAAAATCCTGTTGTATCAAGGGAAAAGCCGAAAAAGAGTTCCTCAAATGTCAAAATAATAGCTGAATCGGAGGCCACCGAAAAGGCTCCTACTCCGTCAGTAAAAAAGACGAAAAGAAATTCAGGAAAAAAGAAAATTGTTACTCCAACTTTGCCACAAATTATTGAGGAGGCGCCCAACCGATCATCTGACTCACAGACTAAGCCCGAACTAAATCCATCATTAAAAGTTCCAAAGACAAATTTGAAAAAGTCCAGAAGCTCTGTTGCGGAAGGCATTTTGGAAGATAACACCAACAAGGAATCCGACTCGGAGGTGGATGTAAAGAAAGCCTTAGCTTTGTCAAAGGCCACCTACAAGGAAGAGCAACTGAAGCGACGGAAAGCAAAAAAACAGACCTCTAAGGAACAGGACCTCCCGCCGATCGAGCAATCTGTGTCGATATTTAACAATCAAAGTGTTGCCTGCAATTCCACAGCTCTGGCCAACGATACGGCCTGCAATCGCGTTCTTCCCAAGAGACGAACGGTTAAGAGGGCAGCCGCCGTGAGCAGTACCCAGGAGCAGGCGACGACGAACGACTCGACTTCACCAACGGGTAGCTCAGTGGCGGAGGTCGGCGCCACGAGCGGCGATCCGGACTGCACGGTGGTCACATCCACCACTTGCTGCGAACCGCCGGCTGCCAGTGAGCCAATTCGGCCGCCCCTCAAGCTCACCAAGCGGGGCATCCTGCTGCGCAGCTCCACGGCACCGGATGCCGGCAACTTCACACTAACCGAGCAGGCTCTTGGAAAGATCATTGGTGAGCGTTGGGCCCGCAAGTACCTCAAATACCACATCGGCAGTCGCAGCTTCGACAGCCGGCACTCGGTTTACTACCAGCCCACGCCGCAGTTGGCCGCCGCCTTGAGTGCTCCGCAGGATGTGCAGCAGACCCTCGCCAACATCTCGAGTTCCAGTTCCGGTTCCAGCGATGATGACATCTTCGAGCAATTCAACCGATACGGAACGGTGTACAGCGTGCTCGAGAAAACCGGTGTCGATAAGGCTAAAGCTTAAGCTTTGTTCTTCCTTTACTGGCACTTATTTCTAAGCTTTATTTACGACGCTTTTTTAGGCTGTGTTAAACACATCCATGTAAAAGGTACTAAGAACATTTTTTGATGTTTATTTTTTAAGTTTTGATTTATTTCACGTAAATTACATGATCGATAGTGATAATAGAAAACATAATACGTCATAATCATTATAATCATCATAAATGTTCGCTTAAGTATTAAATAATTGTTTAAGAGATTTATTCGCATTGCAATAGTAATTCTTGTGTGTCAAAGTTGTGCTTAAGTTCGTTCTCATAAAAGTTTATCTAAATTCATATCGGCTATTGTTAATTTGATGTATTCACAAGAAAACAAATAAAACGTAGGATCAATTTAAAGATTGAAAATGGCGCGTCGAAAAACAGAAGCTTCTTCCTTCCATGTATGTACAAATAACAAAAAACTTACCTAAAATATGGTGATAAATCAAGAAATTAAAATTAAACAAAGAGCTTTACGATGAAAACAAGAAACACACGACCTTTGACCCTGGAACATGCGCGCCCACACACATACACATGCGAAGCATACATCTACACGTACACATATGCCTGGCCGGCCTGCCTACAGCCCACAGTCCACAGCCTACACATCGATCTGGAATGGGGAGCCGGGTATATGCTCCTCGCCCCACTTGATTAGGAGCACGTACTGGCCGCGGTCGCGCACCAAGTACTGCACATTGTAGTTGTTGTGGCCGGCGTGCTTCACGTGGAACTCCTCGCAGGGTCCCTTCGGTCCGTACATGCCCACATAAAGGATGTTGTTGCCTGAAAGGAAGAATATATGTGATTAAAACAAATTTTAGCAACATATCTTTTACTTTCAATTGAGTAAAAATTGTAAAAATAAAAATATTGGATTTGTTTTTTAATGATTTGATAATATATCATTTAAACATGTTATTAGATTTGTAATGATCAATAACAATATTAGATTCAAAAACATGAAGTTACAAATTCAGAAAAATAAAAT